ACATACTTACATATCAGTATATTTCTCTAGGCAAGCGTCGATAAATATCCTCATATCGTCGCTTATCATTTGTCGACCAGGATATTCTATTTTGGTAGGAGCTGGCCTTGGTGCAGGTGATCTTTGACTATCAACTTCAATCACAGCTTTTGTAAGTTCTAACTTAACTGGGGAGGGCCTAGCAGCAGCTTTTTTTAACACCTTCCTCTTATGTTCACCCTTGGTGTATGGTGTCTTAACCTCCTTAGCTCTACGGTCAGCCCGATGTCTCACACGTTTGGCTATGCCTGAGCTGCTTGTTTCATGTTTGGCAACAAAATCCTTTATTGGCTGGGTGTCTTCAAACATATATTCAGCAATAACCTCTGCACACTCAGCCTTCTTCATTTCATTACTGATAGTCCTAGATGAAGATTGAACATGAACTGCTGCAGTTGAGGAGTTGAATGAAGGGAAGTTAGCAGATAAGAACATCTCCATTGCTTCCAATCTCTTATTCATCTCCCTCTGCTCAAAAACATAATGTTCAAGAGCCTCCATTCTTCTTTCATTCAGAGACATTGTTGTCTCCAAGGTTATTAACCTACTTCTTAAAAATCTATTTTGATCTAAAAGCTTCTGTACATAATCACCTATATATTCCTGTTGTCCTTCAGGTGGGGGAGTATGTTGCTGCTGCTGCTGCTGGGTATGTGACATAGGAGGTGTTTGAGTGCTTGGTCCAACAGGACTGATTGGGCTAGGGGGCGGCCGAACTGGGCTTGGGGGCGGGGTGCTTTGCCTTAGAGGACTCTGGGGTGTAGGAGATGTTGGGGGTGTATGAAGATGTTCATGAGGTGTGTGCAAGATGAGATCTTTGTTAGGAACTTTGTCTGGTGAAGTCTGTGGGGTCTGTTTTGGAGTGTTTGCTAATAAAGCCCTCTCCTCAGTTGTTATAGCATCAAAAGAAGTTAATAAATGACCAACTTCAAGACCATCTAATAAACTAGATGCATCTGCGTCGTTATAAACTACATCGGATCCCCAGCGGAGAAACCTTGGTCTTGCCTTCGAGTTCAATGGTTCGTGGAGTGTATAATGTTCAAGAAACCAGATCTGAACTAATACATAAGAAAATCAACGTAAAATATATCTAACAATTTAATACAAAACAATTTAAATTCGAAGCACTCACAATTATAATATGAACAAATCCATTCAGGTAACCGAGTGGCTGTCCTTTCTTCATCTTTTTTGCAATGGCGTTAAAGTCAGCAACAAGGAATTCTCTGATTGAATCCGGCCAATTGTACGATAAAAATTTCTCAACATTTCGAGCCACACTGATGACAGAGGCTGGTGTTCGATAGTTGTGCAGAGGAAAAAATAAGTTTGACAGCAAAAAAATGATGAATTTCTTCAAAACATCGGGCATTTTTGTAGATTCATCCAAACTAATCACCTCCTTCCTAATATCATTGGCTGATTTACCTGTTATTCTAGCACTACCAATTTCAAAGTTGTTTCCTCTGTTTGGTAATCCTAAAATCATAGCAACTTCATCGGCAGTGAATTGTAAAATCTTATCCTTAATGACAAAGCATTGTTTCTTACTATCCCAGCAGGACAACAACTTGTAAACCAACGGCACATTCTGCACTAGACGGGGCATAAAAAGAAAATGATGCAGATTATATTGCTTCAAACTTTCAACGAAGTTCTCGCCAAATATTTCCACTAAATGATCACATACTTCTCTGAAGGTTGACGTTCTGCAACGGAAACTAATCTTCGGCACATATCCCTGCGTTATTGATTAGGCTAAATTAAATTCCAGTTTCGTACATCTACGAACCGGTCGTTACCTATGTATACAATTCGGTACCTAGAGGTACTGACTGGTACCGAGAGGTACCGAGTAGTACCTTGAGGTACCGACTGGTACCGAGCTTAACCAGAAATTTCATAGCTTAATCGGGAAGGTACCGCTGGGTACACATTCGGATAACGCAGCGGTACCGACCGGTACCCAACAATACCCAGCGGTACATTTTGTCACACAATCTAACGGGCAAATGGCATTCACAACATCATTCAAACTAAACCCTAAAAGGTCAAAAATATCGAAAAATGCATAAAACTTAAGAAAATCAAACCTTTCCCATTGCCGCGATGAAGCTCAGCAGGCCTAGAGTAGAAGATGAACTAGCTTCGTTCGAAAAATACAACCTGCAACTTCTCCTTGTGGAAGATGGACTGTAGTCTAGCAAATCGCCCGAAAAAGAAAGAAGGAAGCGACGTTTCAGATGTTCTCGAAGATATGGGCACCGCGCATTTTTTGAAGTAGATCAAATGGTTCGTGTTATCGGGTTATCAGGTAAACAGAGCACACGCTCTCCTCAATACGGTGGGGTCAAAATGGGCTCCACGTGGCGCGATACTACTTGTTTGCACATACAGAACTACGTCCGCACTCGGCACCCAATAAAAACTCCTGTGCATGATAGATGGAAGGGTAATAAAGAGATCTAAAAAGTTGATATATTTTTTGTATTGTTTTAAAATTTAAATATAATATGAGTAAATAATAAATAATTTTAAGTATTACCTATAAATATGATGGCGTCGAATGCTACTGAAATAGAATAAAAACACCTAATAATTTCTCGGCTCGACTCGCTTGCGTATGACGCATTTCCGATTCAAGGTTCTGCTCGACCATCCTCCCTTGCGAGAAGCGACCCTTCTAGCTGTCTCGGAAGTAATTTTCTTCAAGATCAGAAACCGGGAAGCAAAACTACTCAACTATCACGGCGTGTTCTCCAAAGATTTCTGGTACTCTTCCGTCTTTTCATGAACTAGATCCCCGGAGGCCGGATCATGACTGTTTTGTTGAAAACTTCCAACCTTCACGACGCTATCGGGTAATCCGAACGCTACTCTCTCAATTCTTCTTCTTCTTCTTCTACTTGTTTATCTGTAGGTCACGACCTCGATGTATAGAAACCTTGGCTATTTCGATTTTCATGCAGGAATGAGCTTCTTCAAGGACCTTGCTGATTCCTTCTCCTCTTTATTTTCCTCTGCTACATCGGTTTCTTCTTCTTCTCCCCCGCCACCGGCTTCCGCGGAGGTGATGGAAGCTCCCTCGGTTGTTAACGAGCGGGTCGTCCTCAAACTGAAGGGCTACTTTGAATTGGCCAAGGAGGAGATTGATAAGGCAGTGCGTGCTGAGGAATGGGTCCTCATCGACGATGCCATCACGCACTATAGAAACGCTCAGCGGGTGATGCTTGAAGCAAAGGCTGCCCGGTTACCTCCGGCACTATCTTCGAGGTCTGGTTTGTTTTCCGTTCCTAAAGCAATTCACACCCAATTCACCACTTCTTTTATTTATTTGAAGTATTTTGATTCAACTAAAAATATTGGTGCTCGTCAGCGATCATCGCCAAGTAAAGGACTATCAACAAAAGATTTCGAAATGGCAGGGGCAGGTATCTGAGAGATTGCAAGTTTTATGTCGGAGAACAGGTAATTGTCTTCTATCCTTACATGTGAATTATAATCTTGGAATTGATCTCTGTGAACTAATGTTTGGTTTGGAGCTCTATAATTTGTCTGTAAAAGCTGAACGTATTAATAGATTGTTGTTTTGGCAGGTACGTCGCCAGTGAAGGTATGGATTAGTCTATCAGAATTGTAAGTTACATGATATATATTTTTATGTTTGAATATCTTGTTCTTTTGAAGTCCGGTGAATTTCAGCAGTTTGTTGAATCTATAGAGAGCGTATGACTGTTAGAGATTAAAATTTCTGCATTGACAAGGAGAATAGGACTAGCATGCAAGCATAAATAGTTGGCTGAAGAACTCAATTTTAAGTGACTTTCTCGCTTCTCGGAGTGCACAATTTGATGTATTTCTTTCTTGATTCAGCGCATGCATTTTTGTATGAAATGGGGATATAAATGATGATATAACTTGTAGAGTGAATATAAATTGTTAAAATAGAGCAATGGTTCATAGTATTATACGATGAAAAAATATTATGGAGATTTACCTGTAACCTTTACAATTATGTTATTGGCTGACTATGCTGTCTAGAGTCTGAGGCTGGGTAACAAAAAAGTTAACTTATAGATATATTGAGGAATGAGTTGGTTAGAGGGAGTGGGAGTAACATTTGTTGAAGTTATGGTGGTAGAAAATAATCTTATTTGGTTTTGATAGGGGTGCAAAAAGGGTAAAAATGCCCTCATAAGATGGGTATATAAATTAGCGTCAAGGAATTATGAAAGACAATGGGTAGACCAAGTATAATACGAATAAAAATTGTGTTAAATGATTTGCACAAAAGAGATATAACACTTGTTGTAATTCCATACTAGAATAAATAGAGAATGATTATTTGTATATTCAAACCAAATAGTTGGGATAATGATGTGAATGCATGCAGCCAAAATGAATCGCCAATTGTTCCATAAACATTTCATGAATTTGCAATTATGTCTCAAATTAGTCTAGCCTTCTATGTTATGCAAGATTGTCCTTATGATATTTTCTTTTATGAAATTATTTTAATTTTATACGCTGTAGATTGTCCTTATGTTATGCAAGATTGTTCTTATTCATTGCTACACTATCAAAGGGTGTGAGATATAAAAGTGTTGTGCTCAAACATGTTTATAAATTTTGACATGGAAATGATGGAAAGCACCAACATGTTATTCACCCTCATTCTTCTTTCTGACATGTGTTTTTGTTTAGGCTAGCACAAGCCACTCACCAACTGGAAAAGCGTCATCTATAGTATCAGGTACACAAAAAGCTCCACTACAAAATTCACCAAGTGTGAAGAGTGGTGGCTCAGGAAACAAGAGTGATAGTAGTAAAGGCCCACAAAACATTAAAGATTCTTCTGGTGGTTATGATGCCAAATTAGTTGAAATGATAAATTCAGCCATTGTTGATAAAAGCCCTTCTGTAAAGTGGGATGATGTTGGTAAGAAGTCGGGGAATAATTTATATTCAGGTATTGTTTCAAAATTCTGGTAGTATTGTTTAGCCTTGTTTTGTAACTGTTTGCAGCTGGGCTGGAAAAAGCAAAACAAACCCTTTTGGAAATGGTAATCCTGCCAACAAAGAGAAGGGACTTGTTTACTGGACTGCGGAAACCTCCGAGAGGTATATCTTTGTACCTAGTATCCCAACCTCTAGCAGAAAAACCTCTTAGATGCTTATCCTTTGGGCTAAGGTGCTCGTGTTCTGTTCCGGGTGTCTCAGAATCATTTGAAGTGTGTTTGTTTGATTTTTCTTGGTCATGTGAAATACCTAGCCTCTATGATCAAAATTTCTACTTATACTCAGGTCTGCTCCTCTTTGGCCCGCCGGGAAATGGTAAGACAATGCTCGCCAAGGCTGTTGCTTCGGAGTCAGAGGCTACATTCTTCAATGTTTCTGCATCCTCCTTGACATCTAAATGGGTTTGTTATTAGCATATATTTCACTACTTTCTATTCAAGCTTTTCAGTGATGAAAAGTGACCGAAAAATATGATGACAGGGCAGGTTGGAGAGGCAGAAAAACTTGTCCGGACTCTTTTCATGGTTGCTGTTTCTAAGCAGCCGAGTGTTATTTTTATGGATGAGGTATGCCTCCTTTTTCCTTTTCTATTAGTTCTTTATTCCATGCTCATTACTGTAAAGTTAAAGCACAACTACACTGATGCGAAGTAGATGCAGAACTTGAAAAACTTTGGTTGAATATTCAATCTTAACAAAGCAAAAATCGGTAACAAGTAAAGGATGAAGAAGAACACTCAAGACATTTTTTATTGGATTATATATGAAGGAAAAGATAAAATATAAGTGATCTATAATTAGAGAGGTAGCTCGGCTCTCCCAATTTAAGGAGTTTCTGCATATGTTTCTTAAGATGTTGGATGGATATGTTGATATAGGGACTTCAATTTAGAAGGTATTTATTATCTTACTAGAGAATCATATCAACAAAGGATAGAAAACACACCCATTAGGCGAGTAAATGAAAGAAGTGTTAGAGGTTTAGGAAGGAAAATTAATAAACCAAGATTATGGATAAAAGTTGTTTGAATTATGAAGAATAAATTTAACACCATAAACAACACTTAACAAGAACTAATGAAAAATGAGAATTCATAATCCTAGATAGTTGGGATAAGGCTAATGATGATGATGATGATTAGAGACTGATATGGATGGTGATGTTGATTACTGAGGTAGTATAGTGGTAAAAGTGAAATGCTTGATAACATGATAAAAGATTGTGCTGGGAGTGCAATATTGACCAGATGGTAATATTTTTGATAATTTTAGCTGCAACATGCTTTTCCTGTTTTATATTAAACTCAATTCCAGGTTATGTTTCCAGATAGATAGTTTATTATCCTCGAGACTAGCCAATGAGAATGACTCAAGCAGAAGGTTAAAATCGGAATTCCTGGTACAGTTTGACGGAGTGACCTCTAATCAAAGTGACCTGGTAATCGTTATAGGTGAGGTTGCCTGACTATTTACAGAGTGTTCGCTAATCCTTTTCTCAATCTATCATCTATTTGTCTTAAAAAAAAAAAAAAATCATATATTTGTCTTTCATCTGATTGATGCAGTACAGTACTGTGTTTAATTTGAAAGTAGGACTGGCCTATCTTAGCATGCCAAACTCTTAAGAAAGTTGCAATGACCAGCAGAACACAAAAACCTAAAAGGCCCCCAATTTCTTGGTTGTTCGTTATTTGCTTGTCTACCTTATTGACTGCTTATTTCATTTTACTTGTATTGTACTTGGCTTAAAATCAAGAACAGAAGTCTTAGGACTATAGATAAATGTTGATGCAGGTGCTACTAACAAGCCACAAGAGCTGGATGATGCTGTTCTACGAAGACTGGTGAGTTTCTTGTGTACATGCCTGTAATATTTTCCTATAGTTGATCAAATCCGTGCATGTTAGATTGTGGGGATTTTTTTTTGGTCTGTTCATAGAGGAATAGTCCTAAATAGGTTGCTTGTTGTTGTTTGCTTGGTCAAGTAGACTTTCATATAAATAAAAATATGCTGCTTGCATGGTTAAACTTGATATAGCTGAAATACAATTTTAGCATACATTCATCCTTTTTCATGGAAAAGAGCCATTGTTTAAAGGCTAATGTTGAATGTGAATCCAAGTGTGAAAGTCGTATACAGTTTTTCTTGCAGAACACGCTATAGTTTAATGTGCTAATATGATTTTTTTGTTCCATGTTAACAAAATCTTTTCATTTTTTTGGCCTATATTTTATAACTTTATAACCACTTGATGGCATTTTAAAACCAGGTAAAGAGAATATACATACCTCTCCCAGATCAAAGTGTTCGGAGACTTCTTTTCAAGAACAAACTTAAAGGACAAGCATTTTCCTTGCCAAGTAAGTGAGCTTTTCTGAATCCATGGTCATCATTATAGTCAGCAATTTTATCCCTGAGTTCTCGACTATATGTAAAAATGGTCTCATTTAAAGCACTTAAGTTGTTCATGTCTTCACTAAGACATTGGAAATGATAAGCCATTACACATAGAGTTCAATTCTGGATCTTCTTAGGCCAAGCATTTTCTAAGCATTCTTTTTGTCAAGATGGTATTGAGAGAATTGTTAACTAGGTCTGCGAAGGGATGGGCCATGTATTGTTCGCACATTGGATTGTGTAACTTCTGGTGATCCCTTCTTTTGAAATGTTTCTATTAATTTGCAAAATTTTCCTGTGTCCTATATAATCTTCACAGCCTCCTTGGCATCATTGGTCAGTGTCCTATACTACTGCTTATTCTTGCTGATAAGATATTACCCTTCGTTAAAAAATGTTGGCCTTACTGGGAAATCTTATTGACTACAAAGTGGAACATTGTTTCGCTTCAAATATTTTTTGACAACATTGTTCCTTTACAGATGCTGATTTGGACAGACTTGTCAAGGACACTGAAGGTATGTACTCGGTCAGTTCTTATCAAGACTATGCAGAAAGCTCTGTATATGTGACCATGTTTTGAGCTTTTGCTTAGGCTATTCCGGAAGTGATTTGCAAGCATTGTGTGAAGAAGCTGCAATGATGCCAATCAGAGAATTGGGTTCCAAAATTCTGACTGTACAGCCTAATCAGGTGCTCACTAATGAGTATCTTCCATTTATTTGGAATACTACCACTGTGCCATTCTTTTGTTTCTTTTGAATAAAAGGTATATTGAGATGGGGTAATATATGCAGGCTTATGTTTTATTGAAGAGGCTATTTTCGTGCTTTCATTTCTTTTGAATGCTTTGTTGAATTTCTCTGTTATATTTCAGAAGTTTTTTGTGATAAATGTTGTAACACCTCACAGTACTCCATAACAGTACAATAGAATGTAACAAGATTAACCATAACATTTCCATCATATAATCTCTCAATCAATTCTTTATTTTCCATATCTATGTCAGATATTATATAAACAATATTTAATATAACAAAGGATGCATATAAAAGTTCCCAAAATTTTTTTTTTCAAAGACTTAGTACAGTGCCACTAAGGAAATCCAAACAAATACAAAGTAACACAACATTTTCAATTGTTTACTAACCTCACAAGTAGACTTTCAAATATAAAATAAACATTAACAAAAAAACTTAAATACCTGCATATCAAACTTTTTCTACTTTTCCTTTCTCTTTTCCTATAAAAACAACTAGTAAGAAAAGTACTAGTGAGCTGTGAGACTCAAAAAGTTATGCAGAATTAATTAACAATTAATACTAACAATTAAAATAGCATAACATGAATAATTATAACAGTGAAATCATTATTGAAAACATTTAAAAGTCATACTAAACATTATGCTTCATTGCTTTTGGATTTCTATTGAATATAAATTTTCTGTGAAAGATTTGGCTAGAATTTCTTAAGTTTATTCAATAGAGCCCAGGTAAATCTGGCATTATCGCCATTGAAACTCATAGAGGGTCCTTTTGCCTCTTTGGGGTCCCTTTTTCCCCACCTGCTAAGCAGGTACCATAATTCCTAGGATCCCTTTTGCCCCACTTACCATGTAGTTCTTATATGAGAACCCTTTTATCTCAATTACTTTGGTAAAATATACATCATATATAGCCAAAATTTACATTAATTTAGTATTCAACATTCTTTCATAATCACAGGTCATACTTGCTTTACTATATGATTTCTTAATCATTTATATCAAAATCTTTATACCATGAATATGCATATAATAAACAAGAAAAATGACCTCTTTCGAAAACATTATTAATTAGGAAAACATTTAGATGAACGTAATAAGCCTCAATTTGAACTCACATGCTGAGATTATATGAGCGATTAATCATATTTAAAAACTTGGATAAGAACATCATAAAGCAAAATAAATAACTTATAATTCAATTTTTTTTAACTCGGTAAATAAGTGGTAAACAATTATAAATTTACAAAAATTACTTTTAGAATTTATTTTGTATCACTTACCTTCTTAACGAGGAATTTCCTTCAATCCTCTACCTTGAATTCTTCTTCGATTGTAAGTCACTTCAAAGCTCTCTCTTTGCATATGATCAAATTTATCTATAATATCATAAGTTATAACCTCTGTAAAAACTTCCATTACCATAGGAAATCTACCTTAGGCGCATGCCAAACGAGCTTACCTTGATTTTCTTTTCCTCAAGTTTTATTCTTCCTTCAATGTTCTCACTTCCTTCTCACATAGAAATCAAACTACAATTTATTACAGAAGTCCATATTAATCGCATCAAATCCTTGATTACAATGTTTATAAATTTCCATATTATTAATAGGATAATATATGTAATTGCCAGATACTGAAATGATGCATTTTCTTATACTCCTTCGGCCTGTAGTTGATATTTCCAAACCCAACTTGTGCTTCTGACTTCAACCAGTTTCGCCTCTTGCTTCAGCCAGAGCCTTTTCCGCCTCTTGCTTCAGCCATCCTGTTCCGCTTCTTCCTAAAGGAGAACCGCGAATTTCCTATACAGGAATAGCGGCATCCTCTATAGTCTCGGGTGAGAGTGTAGAACCGAACTTGCTACATAAGAGGTACTAAGTCCTTATCCCGTTCAGTAATTCTGCACTAAATGATAAGATGAAGGAGTGGCACTCTAAAACTGCTATTCTCTTTATCCACACCAATGAACACATCTATTCAGAAAAATTTAATATTTAAATCAATACTGTTGATTTTATTTAACAGTACTTAAGCTTTAATTAAATAAGGGTTTGAATTTCTTTTACCAAAATTTGAGTTGTTACAAATGTTACCGCCTACGTTTTTAAACATTGTACGCTTATCTGTTAAGTCAAGAAGATTTAACCGTTCAGGCTGATAAGTTCCTTTTTTAATTTTTCCTTAGAAATGGAAACGGGTATAGGAATTGATATGTGATTAGTTTTCACCCACGTGTTTGATTGAGAAATAATGTGAAGAAAAAAATTTCTTTGTTGTTTGGTTGATGAGAAATTGAATTTTTTATTTGTTAGGAGGAGACATTAGTCACAAACGATTGATCCAATAAAATTTTCTTTTCATTTTTCATAAAGGTTTGATAGGAAATTATCAATGGAAAAAAAATATTTATTAACATTTTAAAGATAAATTCAACTACCTATTAATTACATCGGAATCAAACATCTAAGATGAAGTTGCATAGTAAAATACATTTGCATTTCCTCCATTTCCTTCCATCCAAACAAATCCATGCGGCCATGGCAGTTGAATTGCTGAAATTTGCAGCTTCTGAAATCTGACATTCAGTTCGATCATTTAGAATTTTATTATTCAATCAAGGAGGAACTTTAGCAGTTACTGTTGGCATAAATGGCCTTCTTGCTTTTTCAGGTGCGGCCATTAAGCTACGAAGACTTCAAGAAAGCAATGGCTGTTATCAGACCCAGTTTACAGAAGAGCAGGTGGGAAGAGCTTGAACAGTGGAACATGGAATTTGGCTCAAACTAAGTAGATTAGTACAAGTAAATAATTACAATTATAGGTAAAATGACATAGTATCCTCCCAGAGAGTTATACTTGGTCAGTTATAACTGCTACTGCAATGATTATTTATTATTTCATTTATATGCGCCATTTAACATTGTTCATGCAGTTTATGCAAAGATCAGTGAAAATAGCAACAGCTCGCTGAATCATCTTTCTCTGCACGTTTATCCATGTAAGAATCTTGAATTATTACAATAGTTTATTTGCATCCAAGCAGAATTTGAAGGTCCCATGAATGAAATATTTTCTTGTAGATTCTTGTGGTTCAGGTAAACTGTAGGATTGTTCTGCTGAATTTTAGGACTGAATTGATTAATGACAAGAAGGCTATCGTTCTGTATGGATTTTCTAGGAATTATTAACTTGGATTGATTTGATAGGTTAAATATTGAGATTATATATGATATATAATTTAGTAAGATTGGGTGATTTAAATGAAGAAGGGATTGGTATAATGTGATAAGAGAATATTATAGTGATTGATAAAGTATATGTAATGATATAGATTATGAAGTTAGATTTGGTGGTTAAATGGTTAAGTAATTTAGGAGTAATGTGATAAGATAAAATTAAATTATATATAATCATAATTATGTAAATTATGTTATAAGAGTCTAAAGTAGATTTAAGTTATTGATAGTAAGTTGAAATAGAATATTAGGATAATGTTTATCAAAATGAAAGATGAGAATAAATATTGTTCTTTTTTGTTTAGTAGTTGGGAGCTTAGGTTATCATCATCAAGATGGGTTATAGGTTTAGGGTCTTGTATGTGAAATCTGTGATAGTTTAATCTATAGTTGGAGGGTATAATTAGAAAAGATAAGATAATGTAATTTTTGCTAGCAATTGTTGTTACAATCACATTAATTAACTTATATCATATTCAATACAACAACAATAATAACAACATCAAGCATTTATCCGACTACATGAGGTAGGTTACATGAATTCTTTTTCTCCATTGTATCTTGTTAAAAGTCAAATTCTTATTTAAATCTAATAAAAAAGATCATTTGTAATATTTTCTGATCAAGCCTTTTTAGGTATATCTCTATATTTTTTTAACATAGGTCAAATCTAATAAATCTACTCTCCTGACCGGGTCATCGGAAGACCGATGTTTAAGTGACCAAACCATCCAAGGCAACTCTCTCAAATATTATCTGCCACCAGAACTACTTTAATCTTTTCACGTATATGCTAGTTTCACATTCTATCTCTAAGAGTAAAGCCACCTGAGCATCCTCATCTCTACAACACTTAACTTAATATTATGCTTCTCTTTTAATGGCCAGCATTAAAAGAGAAATTCTTCTATTCTTAGAATTCTTTACGCCATAACGCACTGCATGTCTCACCACTGTCTTATAGAATTTTCTCTTAAGTTTGAGAGATATTTTTCTATCACACAATAGACCCAATGCATTCCTCCACTGCAACCATCTAACTTGAATTCTATTAATAATATTTCCATCTATTTCACCATCACTATGGACAATAGACCAGAGATATCTAAAATGTGCGCTCTTATTAATGACTTGATCAATCAAAATCATAATTCCTTCACTAGAACTATTACTACTAAATTTCACTCTATGTATTCGATTTTAGATCTACTCAAATGAAAACCTTTGGACTCTTAGTTTGACCTCCATAATTTAAGTTTATTTTCAACTCTCTCTATAGTCTTATCAACAAGAAGAATATTGTCAGCAAAAAACATAAACCAGTGTCCAGTGTACATCCTCTTGCAAATGTCTAGTAAGAACATCCATGACTAAAACAAAAAGATATGTACTTAAAGCTGATCCTTGATGTAATCCAATTGAAATTGAAAAATACTTGGTCAAATCAACTTTTGTTTGAACACAACAACTCATGCATGCATATCCTTAATGACTTGAGTATAAGCATTATTAACCCCTTTCCTTTTCTAGAACTCTTTATAGCACTTCTTTTGGAATTTTATCATAAGCTTTCTTTAAATCAATAAATTTCATTTGTAGATCCTCATTATTCTCTATATACTTCTCCATCAAGCCTCTCAATAAATGTATAGCTTTCATAGTTGACTTACCCGACATAAATTCAAATTGATTTTGAGAATTATTAGTATCACGTGGTAACCTATGCTCAATAATTCTCTCTCATAGTTTTGAAGTATGACATATTAACTTAATTCCTTTATGTTTCGTACACTCTTATGCATCACCTCTATTCTTAAAATAGAAATCAACATACTCCACTCATATGACATCTTTTTAGTCTTCAAAATAATATTGAAAATTTTTGTAATCCAATAAATTCGTTCATCCCCTAAGCATTTTCATACATATATTGGAATATCATTAGGTCCAATAACTTTTTCACATTTCATTTTCTTTGAAGTCTCTCTAACGTTGGTTTTATTAATATGCAGATAAAAATAAGAATCTCTAATTTTATTTAGGGTGCTAAGTCACTAAAATCAATCATATTTTTACAATCTTCATTAAAAAGTTTATTAAAATATCTCATCTACCTTTATTAAATATCCTCTTCTAATAAAATCATTTTTTATCTTCATCCTTAATGCACTTCACTTGAACTAAATCTTTATTTTTCCTATCTCTTTATTTAGATAATTTCTACATTTATCTTTTACCCTCCTTAGTATCTAATATATTATATAAGTTATTAAAAATTAAATTCTTTTAATCACAAATTATTTTTTTAGACTCCTTATAGACCTCTTTATGTCTTTCCCAATTTTTTGAGTTTACATCAAAACTATTTTTTATAATAAAGTTTCTTATTTTTCTCTATTTTCTTTTATATTTTGATTCAATCATCAATTATTTATACTATTATAAGCTTTTCTTTTGATACTAAAAAAATTCACTGAAAATAATTTTATAATCTTTACCATTTAAACTATATATTTTTCTTATAAGAAAATAATAAATTTGAGTTTTACTATATGTAATAAGATGTTCCTCTCTTTTTTAAATAAGATGTTAACAATTATAAAAGTATAAACTTGTATAAGTCTCGGCAAGCGTGTTGTAGGTACACGTGACGTTTGAGGATGCTTCGCAGGTCAAAAAATGAACTTAAGGTTGAGCCCGATCATTCTATGTGAATAGATAGGAGTCGACATGGTTCAAATTATCAAACAAATATACGGTGGCGACATCGACCGATGTGTTTGTCTTATACGTTCATATTAGGCATTCAAGTTTTTTAACAAAGAAAATTCACCAATAAAGATCTAAAGCCGACAATAAATTAGATCCTCTATCAGTAAATAGACAGAGTCGACAAAATTCGACCAACAAAATGGGATAGCCCATAAATATCCCGATGATGGTCATGTTGATAGAAGATTTTAACTGGATGGGGCACCAAACATTCAAAAATACATCTCAAATTTTCAAATGGCCATAAAAATCCAAATTTTCAAAAATCATAAAATTTTTAAAATTTAATCAAAATACTAGACACTTAAAATAAAATATTTTCACCATTCGCATCAATTTGCAGAGGTTGATAAGTTTAAAAATCACTCTAGCTCATAAAGAGATAATATATGATCGAGAATATCATTACGATTCATTCTCAATCTATCTCTTGCTAATAAAAATGTGGCACATGTCATCTAATCAGTGGTTTCACTGTCAAATGGCATCATAGATAAACAGTTATGATCAGGACCCTCTGAACCGGCTAGTTTTGTCATCAAATGGCACAACTAAATTGCGGTCATGGTCAGAGTATGCTCCCCAATGGTTTCAATTACTTGAGTAATGAATCAATAGGATATGATCGATAGGGCACAAAGCCCTCTTTTAGTTAAGGTGGATTCAAATTTGTCTCCTTATACAAATATTCACCACAGGTCTACAAGATACCTTTGGACGAAGCAACATATGGATGCCGACAATATTCATTTTGTCAGGTTGGGTCGACTACCTCCTTTAAAGGCTTTGTTTGGGATAGCTTTCATATTGCTTCTTAAAATGGCTTTCGAATATAAAATTTTCTAATACAAAAAATTTTTATACTAAAAAGCTGTTTTAGAAAGCAACAAAAAAGCTGTCCCAAATGAAGCCTAAGTAGACAGAGGTGAAGATGACCCGGGACGATGGAACCATGGGATCTTGATCGAGTTTATCATCACTCCCTCCACCATCCGCTTTAAGTGCAAGGTATTGAATTGCCATTTTTAAATATTAAATTCTCAATTATCAAATCATGCTACTACTATACACCATATATTATTTATTTATTCGATGACTAGCCTTAATCGAAAGTTCTCTCTCGTTATCGGGAGGGGTAATTAACTATAGGGGCTTGCGCCTATAAGAAACTTGAACTCAGATCATAAAGTCCTCACAAAATGAGCATGAAATCTCTGAGTAATATCTAATTCAAAACCTAATCTGGTAATAACAAATAATATTCACATCATACCTCAAACATTATGTATTTAAACCTTATTGAAGCTTATAGTGAGTCTAACTTGGATTGATCTATTACCATCTTCAATATACGATGGATGGGTCTACTTAACCCTAAACAAAATAAGTAAATTATAATGAAATATAAAAAAAAACTCCGTTTGAGACTGCTTTTGGCTATTGTTTTTTTTTTTGTTTTTTTTTTTTTAAGAAAATTTTATACTAAAAAGCTGATTTATAAAGTAATAAGAAAATCATCTCAAATGAAGCCTAAATATACATATGAATTTATTTATTTTTCCAAAATCTCAACTAACTAGTAGTGTGGTGATAAGCTTTATGGTGTGCAGTATACTTTATAATAATCTGTAGAGGGTTTGAGTGTTTGACATTGATTTACCAGTTGGTGAGAAACTCAATAAAATTCTCAATAAAATAAATAATTTATATGACAAATTAATTTATTATATATTTCTATAGTAGAGCTCTAATTAAGCTCCATTACTAAAAAAAGATAGTAAAAAAAAAAAAAAAAAACTAACATTCAATCAAACTATCAAGCACTTAAGCAACACATGCACACGAATTCGTGGGCTGGGGGCCCAGCCTAGGTAAATCACTAATGAATCACATATGAGGCATATGAGCTCATGAGATTAACATGGAGAACCAACAAGAAGCTTTATCAATCTTCAATGATTTTTTTTTTTTAATTTTTTTCCTGCAAAACAATTTACCAAAGCCACCAACTCTTGCACCAAAAACAGAAAATAAGTAGTCAAATGAACACCAGTTGTGGAAAATTTATGTGGTATTTAAAAATCAGCCTAATCGATCTATTTTTAGATAACAGTAAATCGAATTAGAATCTACATTCCAAACACATTAGGTACATTAAATCAATCCAAATTGCCTGATATAGCATAGAAAACATTTCATCATTAAAGTTCAATAACTGTGCCCTAAACATGTTTAAAAAAATCATTAAATTTGATTTGAGTTTAAATAGATTTATAATGATACATAAATCAATAAATTTGACTTAACTATGAAATTTTCAAGATCAAATCATCTGAAGGACATCATAAATTCCATATTTGAACCCATCAAATTAAAATTAAAATATTATTTATGTTTTCTTACTATTTTTTATAATTAATTTTTAGTACAAAAATTTCTTGAACTGAAAATTATTATGCTATAAAACTATTTTAAGAAATAATGAGAAAACCATCCCAAACAAAAACTAATTTCAATATAATTAAACAAATTAAAAAAAAAAAAACAAAACATCTTTCTTTTTAATTAAAGCTAAAAAACAAATATGCAGTAGATTTCTAACAGTAATCAACACATGGCCATCACTATTTGTAACAGCAATCAATTTACCATTTTAACAAACAAGTTAACAAAGAACTCAATTACACAGACCTTCAATTACAAAAAATAACACTGATTTACCGATTTTATTATCAGCTGTAAGATAAGCAAAGCAGATAATGCAAATCTTGAATGAAAAATATTGATGCATTTATAGCTTAAACAAACCAAATATGAAGTTACATAAATTCATTCATTTAAATAATAAAAAATAGCAGCTTTGGTTGTCATCTTAAACAAATCCATACTTTAAAAAGCACTGATAATCAGCCATAAAACAGCTCTATTGCAGCCATAAAATTTTGCCGCCAAAAATGGAAACAGGCAATTACCATGTAACAATATAAACTATCATGTTACTGATATAATTGAAATAAGCTTCAGTTTCTTCTGCTGAAATTTCTCCCGCCGCCTCCTCCCCGACCGCCACCGAACCCTCCACCCCTACGGCCAAAACTACCACCGCCGCCATCTTTGCCTCTCCCTCCAAATTTACCACCACCACCTCCGAATCTGCCGCCACCACCGAATCTGCTCCCGCCACCGCCTCCGGGTCTACTGTTCTTATCCCTCTCCTGCAAGGCAGGAAGTTTCTTCAAAACCTCAATGGCCACCATACTAGCATTTTCCTGACCTGAAAATTTGGAGATTAAGCTAACGTCAAGTGTAAATAATTGATGAACAAATATAAAAAGATTTGGCTAGAATTTCTTAAGTTTATTCAATAGAGCCCAGGTAAATCTGGCATTATCGCCATTGAAACTCATAGAGGGTCCTTTTGCCTCTTTGGGGTCCCTTTTTCCCCACCTGCTAAGCAGGTACCATAATTCCTAGGATCCCTTTTGCCCCACTTACCATGTAGTTCTTATATGAGAACCCTTTTATCTCAATTACTTTGGTAAAATATACATCATATATAGCCAAAATTTACATTAATTTAGTATTCAACATTCTTTCATAATCACAGGTCATACTTGCTTTACTATATGATTTCTTAATCATTTATATCAAAATCTTTATACCATGAATATGCATATAATAAACAAGAAAAATGACCTCTTTCGAAAACATTATTAATTAGGAAAACATTTAGATGAACGTAATAAGCCTCAATTTGAACTCACATGCTGAGATTATATGAGCGATTAATCATATTTGAAAACTTGGATAAGAACATCATAAATCAAAATAAATAACTTATAATTCATTTTTTCTTTAACTCGGTAAATTAGTGGTAAACAATTATAAATTTACAAAAATTACTTTTAGAATTTATTTTGCATCACTTACCTTCTTGACGAGGAATTTCCTTCAATCCTCTACCTTGAATTCTTCTTCGATTGTAAGTCACTTCAAAGCTCTCTCTTTGCATATGATCAAATTTATCTATAATATCATAAGTTATAACCTCTGTAAAAACTTCCATTACCATAGGAAATCTACCTTAGGCGCATGCCAAACGAGCTTACCTTGATTTTCTTTTCCTCAAGTTTTATTCTTCCTTCAATGTTCTCACTTCCTTCTCACATAGAAATCAAACTACAATTTATTACAGAAGTCCATATTAATCGCATCAAATCCTTGATTACAATGTTTATAAATTTCCATATTATTAATAGGATAATATATGTAATTGCCAGATACTGAAATGATGCATTTTCTTATACTCCTTCGGCCTGTAGTTGATATTTCCAAACCCAACTTGTGCTTCTGACTTCAACCAGTTTCGCCTCTTGCTTCAGCCAGAGCCTTTTCCGCCTCTTGCTTCAGCCATCCTGTTCCGCTTCTTCCTAAAGGAGAACCGCGAATTTCCTATACAGGAATAGCGGCATCCTCTATAGTCTCGGGTGAGAGTGTAGAACCGAACTTGCTACATAAGAGGTACTAAGTCCTTATCCCGTTCAGTAATTCTGCACTAAATGATAAGATGAAGGAGTGGCACTCTAAAACTGCTATTCTCTTTATCCACACCAATGAACACATCTATTCAGAAAAATTTAATATTTAAATCAATACTGTTGATTTTATTTAACAGTACTTAAGCTTTAATTAAATAAGGGTTTGAATTTCTTTTACCAAAATTTGAGTTGTTACAAATGTTACCGCCTACGTTTTTAAACATTGTACGCTTATCTGTTAAGTCAAGAAGATTTAACCGTTCAGGCTGATAAGTTCCTTTTTTAATTTTTCCTTAGAAATGGAAACGGGTATAGGAATTGATATGTGATTAGTTTTCACCCACGTGTTTGATTGAGAAATAATGTGAAGAAAAAAATTTCTTTGTTGTTTGGTTGATGAGAAATTGAATTTTTTATTTGTTAGGAGGAGACATTAGTCACAAACGATTGATCCAATAAAATTTTCTTTTCATTTTTCATAAAGGTTTGATAGGAAATTATCAATGGAAAAAAAATATTTATTAACATTTTAAAGATAAATTCAACTACCTATTAATTACATCGGAATCAAACATCTAAGATGAAGTTGCATAGTAAAATACATTTGCATTTCCTCCATTTCCTTCCATCCAAACAAATCCATGCGGCCATGGGAGTTGAATTGCTGAAATTTGCAACTACTGAAATCTGACATTCAGTTCGATCATTTAGAATTTTATTATTCAATCAAGGAGGAACTTTAGCAGTTACTGTTGGCATAAATGGCCTTCTTGCTTTTTCAGGTGCGGCCATTAAGCTACGAAGACTTCAAGAAAGCAATGGCTGTTATCAGACCCAGTTTACAGAAGAGCAGGTGGGAAGAGCTTGAACAGTGGAACATGGAATTTGGCTCAAACTAAGTAGATTAGTACAAGTAAATAATTACAATTATAGGTAAAATGACATAGTATCCTCCCAGAGAGTTATACTTGGTCAGTTATAACTGCTACTGCAATGATTTATTATTATTTCATTTATATGCGCCATTTAACATTGTTCATGCAGTTTATGCAAAGATCAGTGAAAATAGCGGCAGCTCGCTGAATCATCTTTCTCTGCACGTTTATCCATGTAAGAATCTTGAATTATTACAATAGTTTATTTGCATCCAAGCAGAATTTGAAGGTCCCATGAATGAAATATTTTCTTGTAGATTCTTGTGGTTCAGGTAAACTGTAGGATTGTTCTGCTGAATTTTAGGACTGAATTGATTAATGACAAGAAGGCTATCGTTCTGTATGGATTTTCTAGGAATTATTAACTTGGATTGATTTGATAGGTTAAATATTGAGATTATATATGATATATAATTTAGTAAGATTGGGTGATTTAAATGAAGAAGGGATTGGTATAATGTGATAAGAGAATATTATAGTGATTGATAAAGTATATGTAATGATATAGATTATGAAGTTAGATTTGGTGGTTAAATGGTTAAGTAATTTAGGAGTAATGTGATAAGATAAAATTAAATTATATATAATCATAATTATGTAAATTATGTTATAAGAGTCTAAAGTAGATTTAAGTTATTGATAGTAAGTTGAAATAGAATATTAGGATAATGTTTATCAAAATGAAAGATGAGAATAAATATTATTCTTTTTTGTTTAGTAGTTAGGTTATCATCATCAAGATGGGTTATAGGTTTGAGGTCTTGTGTATGTGAAATCTGTGATAGTTTAATCTATAGTTGGAGGGTATAATTAGAAAAGATAAGATAATGTAATTTTTGCTAGCAATTGTTGTTACAATCACATTAATTAACTTATATCATATTCAATACAACAATAATAATAACAATATCAATCATTTATCCGACTACATGAGATAGGTTACATGAATTCTTTTTCTCCATTGTATCCTGTTAAAAGTCAAATTCTTATTTAAATCTAATAAAAAAGATCATTTCTAATATTTTCTGATAAAGTCTTTTTAGATATATCTCTATATTTTTTAACATAGGCCAAATCTAATACATCTACTCTCCTAACCGGGTCATCGGAAGACCGATGTTTAAGTGACCAAACCATCCAAGGCAACTCTCTCTAATATTATCTGCCACCAAAACTATAATCTTTTCACGTATATGATGGTTTCACATTCTATCTCTAAGAGTAAAGCCACCTGAGCATCCTCATCTCTACAACACTTAACTTAATATTATGCTTCTCTTTTAATGGCCAACATTCTACGCCATAACGCACTGCATGTCTCACCACTGTCTTATAGAGTTTTCTCTTAAGTTTGAGAGATATTTTTCTATCACACAATAGACCCAATGCATTCCTCCACTGCAACCATCCAACTTGAATTATACTAATAATATCTCTATCTATTTCACCATCACTATGGACAATAGATCAAAGATATCTAAAATGTGTGCTCTTATTAATGACTTAATCATCCAAAATCATAATTCCTTCACTAGAACTATTACTACTAAAATTTCACTCTATGTATTTGATTTTAGATCTACTCAAATGAAAACCTTTAGACTCTTAGTTTGACCTCCATAATTTAAGTTTATTTTCAACTCCCTCTATAATCTTATCAACAAGAAGAATATTGTCAGCAAAAAAACATACACCAGATACTTCCTTTTGCAAATGTCTAGTAAGAACATCCATGACTAAAACAAAAAGATATGTGCTTAAAGCTGATCCTTGATGTAATCCAATTGAAATAAAAAAATACTTGGTCAAATCAACTTATGTTTGAATACAACAACTCATGCATGCATAGTCTTAATGACTTGAGTATAAGCATTATTAACACATTTTCTTTTCTAGAACTCTTTATAGCACTTTTTTTTTGAAATTTTATCATAAGCTTTCTTTAAATCAATAAATATCATTTGTAGATCTTCATTATTCTTTCTATACTTCTTCATCAAACCTCTCAATAAATGTATAACTTTCATAGTTGACTTACCTGACATAAATTCAAATTGATTTTGAGAATTATTAGTATCACGTCGCAACCTATGCTCAATAACTCTCTCTCATAGTTTGAAGTATGACATATTAACTTAATTCCTTTATGTTTCGTACACTCTTATGCATCACCTCTATTCTTAAAATAGAAATCAACATACTCCACTCATATGACATCTTTTTATACATCTATTAGAATATTATTAGGTCCAATAACTTTTTCACACTTCATTTTCTTTAAAGCCTCTCTAACATTGGTTTTATTAATATGCCGATAAAAATAAAAATCTCTATTTTCATTTAGGGTGCTAAGTCACTAAAATCAATCATATTTTTACAATCTTCATTGGAAAGTTTATTAAAATATCTCATCCACCTTTATTAAATATCCTCTTCTAATAAAATCATTTTTTTATCTTTATCCTTAATGCACTTTACTTGAACTAAATCCTTATTTTTCCTCTCTCTTTATTTTGCTAATTTCTACATATATCTTTCACCCTCCTTAGTATCTAATATACTATATAAATTATTAAAAACTAAATTCTTTTAATCACAAATTATTTTTTTAGACTCCTTATAGACCTCTTTATGGCTTTCCCAATTTTTTGAGTTTACATCAAAATTATTTTTTATAATAAAGTTTCTTATTTTTTTCTATTTTATTTTATATTTTGATTCAACCATCAATTATTTCTACTATTATAAGTTTTTCTTTTGATACTAAAAAAATTCACTCAAAATAATTTTATAATCTTTACAATTTAAACTATATATTTTTCTTATAAGAAAATAATAAATCTGAGTTTTACTATATGTAATAAGATGTTCCTCACTTTTTTAAATAAGATGTTAACAATTATAAAAGTATAAACCTGCATAAGTCACAACAAACGTGTTGTAGGTACACACGTGACATCTGAGGATGCTGCATAGGTCAAAAAATGAACTTAAGGTTGAGCCTGATCATTCTATGTGAATAGATAAGAGTCGACACGTATCGAACTATCAAAAAAATATACGATGGCGACATCTACCAATATATTTGTCTTATATGTTCATATTAGGCATTCAAGTTTTTTAACAAAGAAAATTCACCAATAAAGACCTAAAGCATCAGATCCTCTATCAATAAATAGACAGAGTCGACAAAATTCGACCAACAAAATGAGATAGCCCATAAATATCCCGATGATGGCCATGTTGACAGAAGATCTCAACTGGATGGGGCACCAAACATTTAAAAATACCTCTCAAATTTTCAAATGTCCATAAAAATCCAAATTTTCAAAATTCATAAAAAATTCAAAATTTAATTAAAATACTATACACTTAAAGTAAAATATTTTCACCATCTCCAACAATTTGACGAGGTGGATAAGTTTAAAAATCACTTTAGCTCAAACAGAGATAATATCTGGTCAAGAATATCATTATGATTCATTCTCAATCTATCTCTTGCTAATAAGAATGTGGCACGTGTCATCTAATCAGTGGTTTCACCGTTAAATGACATCACAGATAAACGGTTATGATCGGGACCCTCTGAACCGGTTAGTTTTGTCGTCAAATAGCACCACTAAATTGTGTTCATGGTTATAGGTCATATGCTCCATAATGGTTTCAAATCCTTGAGTAATGAATCAATAGGATATGATCGATAGGACACAAAGTCCTCTTTTAGCTAAGGTGGATTCAAATTTGTCCCCTTATACAAATATTCACCCCAGGTCTATAAGATACCTTTGGACGAAGCAACCTATGGATGCTGACAATAATCTTTCTGTTAGGTTGGGTCGACTACCTCCTCTAACTAAGGCTTTGTTTGAGATAGCTTTCGTGTTGCTTCTTAAAATGATTTTCTAATATAAAATTATAAAATTTTCTAATTCAAGAAATTTTTATACTAAAAATCTGTTTTAGAAAGCAACAAAAAAGCTGTCCGAAATGAAGCCTAAGTAGACAGAGGTGAAGATGACCCGGGACGACGGAACCATTGGATCATGATCGAGTTTATCACCACTTTCTCCACCATCCGCTTTAAGTGCAAGGTATTGAATTGCCATTTTTAAATATTAATTTCTCAATTATCAAATGATGCTACTACTATACACCAGATATTATGTATTTATTTGATGACTAGCCTTAATCGAAAGTTCTCTCTCGTTATCGGGAGAGGTAATTAACTATAGGGGCTTGCGCCTATAAGAAACTTGAACTCAAATCATAAAGTCCTCACAAAATGAGGGTGAAATCTCTGAGTAATATCTAATTCAAAACCTATTCTGCCTTCTGAAAATTTGCCTATGAACTTAAGTGTTAAAACTCACCTTGGCGACCCGAACAAAGAAAGAAGAAAGGGGTCCGCAGAGAGGCTGGGGCGCGAATTTTTGGAGCCCACATAAGAAAAGTATAAGGGTCTCCCCTTTATCTCCCTAGGTATAATGACTCGTCTATAACTCTAATTTGTGCAACTCTTGATTTATTTCTAGATATTCCTAATTTATCTATTTCTAGCACATCCAGATTATCTAATGAGCGGTTAAAATTAGATTTGTCACCCACTCTTGAGTTGTTTAACATATTTGCACATATTGATTGTCTGTGTAATGATTGCCATCAAAGAGATTTACTCTTGATAATACTTTATTATAATCATTTGATAACCTGGATAATGCTTAGTGTTTTAATTCATCTAACCCAAGTTAACACTTGTGGCCATCCTTCTTTGGAGTAATCACTAAAGGTACTAAGTCTACCTTATTTTGAATATATATTGTTAGAAGAGATCTCGAGGCCAAATGCTGCATGCGAGTATCTATTGTTAGTTTGAATGTAATCGGTCTTTTTTTTAAGGCCAATTAAGGTAAACTCACACGCACATCACATATGTAAGATTCGAACCGAAGGCTTCTTGGTTAGTAGTCAAAGCTCCCAACTAATATGTCAAGGTGAGCCACGTGAAGGCGCACGTGCCCCCCCTAGGCTGCTCATGCTAAATAATGAACTAGTGGGGTGACAAAAACTCTAATTGTTCTTGAGAAAATGAATACAATTGTAATAACATTTACAAGATTTGACCAAATGATATTAATGCTAATGAAATCAACTCGACCAATGTTAGGTTCAATCAATTTTACTTCAACATGTGTGATCAAAGAATGTTCATTAGCCTGAGGACTTCATCATTGATAACTATGCAAATATAAAATTATCATTGATTTGGTAATAACAAATAAGATTCACATCATGCCTCAAACATTCTGTATTTAAAGCTTGTTGAAGTTTATAGTGAGTCAACTCGGAGTGATATATTACTATCCTCAATATATGATGGATGGGTCTACTTAATGCACAATATATTATGCAAAATGAAATAGAAAAAAGTAAGTGAAACTAAAGTTTCATTTGGAACAGCTTTTGATCGTTGTTTTTTTCTTAGTTTTAATTTTTTTTTAATTAAATTTTTATTGCATTTAAAAATCAGCCGAATCGATTTATTTTTAGATAACACTAAATCGAATCTGAATGTACATTCCAAACACATTAGGTACATTACATCAATCCAAATTGCCTGATATAGCATAGAAAACATTTCCTTGAATGACTAATGCTGGATTCAAATAAAAGATTAAAAAAAAATTAATTGACATATTTATTAATGATATGGAGTTAATAGTAATGCCTGTAATGATTTATAAAAAATAAAATAAAAATTAACCATTATATATATATAAAATATTTTGCATAATAATTTATGTGGAGTGAAATGTTATTCAAACTGAATTAAGGTCCGCCATTTTCATCATTAAAGTTCAATAACTGTGGCCTAAACATGTTTAAAAAAATAAATTTGACTTAACTATGAAATTTTCAAGATCAAATCATCCGGAGGACATCATAAATTCCATATTCGAACCCATCAAATTAAAATTAAAATATTATTTATGTTTTCAATCTAAAAGATTAAACTAAAATTTTTATTGACAGCCTTCTTATTATTTTTTATAACTGATTTTTAATACAAAATTTTCTTGAACTGAAAATTGTTATACTAAAAAAATTATTTTAAAAAATAATGAAAAAACCATCCCAAACAAAACCTTATTTAAATAAAACTAAACAAATTAAAAAAAAAACAAAACATCTTTCTTTTTAATTAAAGCTAAAAAACAAATATGCAGTAGATTTCTAACTGTAATCAACACATGGCCACCACTATTTGTAAGTTGTAACAGCAATCAATTTACCATTTTAACAAACAAGTTAACAAGAACTCAATTACACGGACCTTCAATTACAAAAAATAACACTGATTTAACGATTTTATTATCAGCTGTAAGATAAGCAAAGCAGATAATGCAAATCTTGAATTAAAATTATATTAATGCATTTATAGCTTAAACAAACCAAATATGAAGTAACATAAATTCATTTAAATAATAAAAAATAGCAGCTTTGGTTGTCATCTTAAACAAATCCATACTTTAAAAAGCACTGATAAGCAGACATAAAAACAGCTCTATTGCAGCCATAAAATTTTGCCGCCAAAAATGGAAACAGGCAATTACCATGTAACAATATAAACTATCATGTTACTGATGTAATTGAAATAAGCTTCAGTTTCTTCTGTTGAAATTTCTCCCGCCGCCTCCTCCCCGACCGCCACCGAACCCTCCACCCCTACGGCCAAAACTACCACCGCCGCCATCTTTGCCTCTCCCTCCAAATTTACCACCACCACCTCCGAATCTGCCGCCGCCACCGAATCTGCTCCCACCACCGCCTCCGGGTCTACTGTTCTTATCCCTCTCCTGCAAGGCAGGAAGTTTCTTCAAAACCTCAATGGCCACCATACTAGCATTTTCCTGACCTGAAAATTTGGAGATTAAGCTACCGTCAAGTGTAAATAATTGATGAACAAATATAAACAGCAATATGATTGCTAACTGGAGCAGTTAAACAAATTCTCATATTTTACCCACATAATACAAATACATACAAATTAGTCTACAAAACTCTGTAAGACCACAGGAAAATAAAAGGTATAATTTAAATAGAATATATCATAGATGTATTTTATGTATTACACTACTTGTACATATATGATAAGCACTCATTTATGTCACATTTTAAAATGCAAAAAAAAAAAGATTGTAATTAAAAAAAGTTTTGTATTATAATTTCAATTAAATAATCCGGTACTTATAATTCTGAATTCTAGAATGAAACTCATATAATACACTCCTAGGGAGTGTAGCATTCCAAATGCCCCAAGTAGTGCATTTTGAGTGTATTTGAAATTCCTCCCATTTGGGAGGTTTCTAAATACAATGCAAACGCACTACCATTGCCATCGCCAGTGACTGCGACCACCCTCCCTCACCCCACCAGCATTCATTTTACATTTGTATTCATTTTATTTAGAGGCAATAAATAAATAAATAAATAAATAACTACCAGCATTCATTTTACACTCATTCAAATAATTCCAAATATTTCATTCCTTTTATATTGTATTCCATTTTACTTTGCATTTCATTTTCATCAAAGCAAGCAACCCCTAAATAAGATTGTGAATATGGATGGAGATTTGCAGCTGACACTTTAAGGTTTTATTGTTTGATTCAATCAAAGTACATATAATGAGAAAATATAAATAACGAAAAATGCATGCCAAACATAATGCAAAAACAAAGTTACAATCAAGTTAAGATCTCTAGAAAAACTCATGAAAAGAAAAGAAGAAATAAAAAGAAGTTAAAATAGCAAAAAACATAGGCTTCCAAACACAACTAAAGATATGTACTCCAAAGGTGCTGCCACACTAAAAACTATGAGATAATTGGGTTCACACACCCCATGCAAGCTAATAGTATAAAAGCACGCCATGGCTCATCACGTGTCATGACTACGCTATTTGCTTGGGCGATGCACATGGTCAAAAAGATGTGTTATTTGAGCCATACAGAAGCAATATTGCATAACGCAAATTCCGCATAGTGTGCGCACTATTATAAATTAAGGTTTTGTATTTTAAATTAATATTTAAATATATTTATTTACTTATAATGTATTTCAGGAGTATAATATTTGGTCCAAATCCCAAGCCATCGCATGCCCTAGTGCGCCATCTCCCCTCGCTTCTCGCTTCGTGCCTCATCTTGACTTCAAACATGCATGTTGACTTTGTACAAATGTCTAGTCTATGGCTTGAGCAGAGAAGCCGCCACACAGTTCATCTCTGACTTCAAACATAATAGAGTAGTAACTATTCGTCTCCACCACAGTTCACCAAACGGACATCTCGTCTCTGGCTTAGAATAGATCAATGTTGCCATCTATTTTCGTCCATCGTACGCATCTTAAAGACCGCATCCCAAAGATACTAGGCAACAAAATAAAAAGTGTCACGCAAAATTCAACAACTTCTTTGCTTAAAGAACCTAGGGCTAGCTAAAGGACCATTGGATACCTATCTCACCCCTAATACTATTGAAGTGGTGAAGAAAAGAAAAGGTAAAAATTAAAAAAATAAATAAATAACGGCTACGAAGAAGATGAGAGAAATATCAATTCAAATATTTTATCGTTTGTCATATGATTTTGGCATTCCCTTCACTGATGTAGTAGAGGCATTGAACAATTTAATTATAGAATGAAACCTCCAAACTACCATGAGGTGGGACCCTTGAAGAAAGAGATGGAACACACAACAACTCCTGCAATGCTATAAAGAAGATTGTTTTATGGCTGATGGGCAGACATCTAGTAATGGAAATATTTTTAATCAACTTTTTTTGTTAATTATTTAAGATGAACAAAGAATGCAGTGAAGATATTTGAATTGTTAAGCAAGTTTATTAAGGAAATTGGATAACATAGTATCATTCAAGTGATTACTAATAATACTTTTTGAGAATGTTCTTGCAACTTTGTTAATCACTAAAAACTTCCTTTTGATTTAAGTTATATTTTTTGGTAGGTTATTCATTTATTCTTGAATGAGTTTTAATACAACAACAACATCATCAAACCTTTGTCCCACTACGTGGGATCGGCTACATGAATCCTTTTTCGCCATTATGTCCGGTTAAAAATCAAATTCTCATTTAAATCTAATAAAGAAAGATCATTTCTAATATTTTCTAACCAAGTCTTTTTAGGTCTACCTCTACCTTTCTTAACATAAGTCAAATCTAATACCTCAACTCAACTTTCCTAATCGGGTCATCTGAAGGCCTCCGTTTATTGTGACCAAACCATCTAAGGCGACTCTCTCTAATCTTATCTTCCACTGGAGCTACTCCAACCTTTTCACGTATATGCTCATTTCATATCTTATCTCTAAGGGTCAAGCCACTCATCCATCTAAGCATCCTCATCTCTACAAAACTTAACTTAGTATTATACTTCTCTTTTAATGGCCAACATTCGGCACCATAAAGCATTGCAGGTCTCACCACCATCTTATAGAATTTTTCCTTAAGTTTGAGGGAGACTTCTCTATCGCACAATAAGCCCGATGCATTCCTCCACTTCAACCATCCAACTTGAATTTTGCTGATAATATCCCCATCAATTTCACCATCACTCTGAACAATAGATCCAAGATATCTAAAATGTGTACTCTTATTAATGACTTAACCGCCCAAAGTCACAATCCCCTCACTAGGTCTATTGCTACTAAAATTGCATTCCATATATTCAGTTTTAGATCCACTCAAGCGAAAACTTTTAGACTCTAAAGTTGACCTCCATAATTCAAGTTTAACCTTCAACTCCCTCTCTAGTTTTATCAACAAGAAGAATATCATCAGCAAAAAGCACATCCTCTTGCAAATGTCTAGTGAGAACATCCATGACTAAAGCAAAAATATATGGACTTAAGTTTGATCCTTGATGTAATCCAACCGAAATAGGAAAATACTTGGTCAAACCACCTTGTGTTTGAACACAAGTAATAGCTCCTGCATACATATCTTTAATGATTTGAATATAAGCATTATTAACTCATTTTTTTCAAGAACTCTCCATAGCACTTCTCTTGGAACTTTATCATATGTTTTCTCTAAATTAATAAATATCATATGTAGATCGTCCTTATTCTCTCTATATTTCTCCATCAAACCTCTCAATAAATGTATGGCTTCCATAGTAGACCTACCCGGCATAAATCCAAATTGATTTTGAGAAACATTAGTATCACGTCGCAAATTGACTTGAATGAGTTTTAATATTATTATAAAAAAATTCTTGATAGATAAATATTCACTTATATTGAATTCCTTGTGCCTTTTATTAATTGGGTTTAATATTGTAAGATATTTTCAATATTCAAAAACTAAGATGATGATACTTTGAGAAGGAGGTTGTAATACATAGCTTCACTTACTCAAGACTTCGATTGCTTAGACTTAATGAGATGTGCGAGTCAAAGATCATTAATCAAACTTGACTTGTTTCGCTACCGCCTTCTTGACATTACAACATTTTCATTAATAATAATTACATTTAAAAAATATATTTACATGTAAAAATTTGTGTTGGAAACATATGCATAGGAAATTGAAGGAAAACAAGCACAACAAATCATATTGAAACAATCTTTATATGACTGAAAAGTAGATGGCCCTTTGTTGAAGATACTTAGATTGGTTGGAGGGAAAAAAAACCTCCAATGGATAATAAATATGAAGCAACAAGGAAGCAATTGTTGTAATCTGTAACAATAATAACAATTGATAGAAGATTAGAAGTGCAACTCTATCGATCTTTACATGCAACTACATTTTTTTTTAATTCTAAATACTTATTCAGTAACCATGATATTGCAAAGGACAAGGAAATAGTTGATCGACTATATGTATGCGTTGGAAGATTGGCTAAGGATGTAGTTGCATGTAAACATCCTTAATGATTTGAGAGAAAACATTAAGGATTATAGTTCTCTAGCAATGATTTGAGTGTATACATCAAGTGTGAAAGACTTTTTGATATTTCTCCAGCTAAGGATGTCAATGAAGAATATAAAATTAGCAATAATTTGAGTGTATACATTAAGAACCACTCAGGCACCAGATAATATAATTGGAGAAAATTATAATTAATATTGAGTAATATTTAATATTTAAATATTAATAAAAGTTAAATACATTATTAATTTTAGCTAATTGGTGGTTAGCATTAGGCCAAGGAGCTCCTTACAAAGTCTTGCAATTGGTCCATGGCCTAAAATGTAGTTCGTTTGGATATGAGCACAATTGAAGTAAACTTGAATATTAAGTACATAATGTAATTGTGTATTGATTATTATCATGAAAATTTATAATTTATTGATTTTAATGACTTTCAATTGCATCTTCATGGCAAAAGAATTAGAATGAATCATAGTCGCCTCAAAGATTTAATTTAAGTAAAATAATATAATAGAATATTGGCTAAGAAATCATCATCTAGGCTTAATATTGTTGCAACTGAACCGGAAGATGAAGGCGATGAAGATTGTGACTAGGGGAAATGATGCTAATGAAGGGAAAAATGATTGTAATATTTTGAATTTTAAGTGGTCAAGGTGTAATCACGCGAACTTAAACATCAATTCTATTTTATTATTCTTAACATGATGGCTTATTTTTAAATTCAATTATCTTTCATTTTTATCTGAATTTATATTCAAATTTTTTTAATATTGCACAATATTAAAATGACTTGCGCTGCAAGCTTGCAGCTTGTTCTATGTGTTATGACTTCACAGGAACCTTTGCGCTATGATTTGCTACTCATCATTGACAAATGTCACACAAACAATAGTCAAGTTGGAACATTCCAATGGTCAACTTTACCAAATCAACACATGTGTGGACAAATAAAACACATCAATTGAACAAATGTTTTTAGTAAAAGTAAAACAGCATACATGCCCACTTGGATAAAAAAAAAAGAAAGCATTAAAAATGTAGTAGAAAGCATTTAACTTGAAATCATCAAGTAGCACCATTAGCATCACAAAAGAACACCATTGATAAAAGTTTAGTCTATGATACCTTCAATGAAACTATCTACATCATCAGCAGGCACATCAAAGACCGCACCCATACAATCAGCTGTTATAGAAAGGTGCTTCACTCCTGCAATCTTTTCTTCAGGCATGAATCTCTTCAATATACTAAAAGCAAACCTGAGGCCACACACAACAAACAAGAACACAAACATTAAGGCCCAAATCATTAACACACTCAGAAGTAAACAATTCTTCATATAAACCTAAATTCAGCTTAAATTATAAAGCCATTACATTAAATTTTGATGTTATGGGGAAAAAAAATGTACAGGATGGTAACAAAATCAAATAATTACTTAAGCTGATGCTTACGCTGGCGTGTAGATCTGCTTCTCTGTTACAAGATGTAACGTCACATAATCATCTAAAGATGAGAGGAGTGATCTCTTTGTAATAGTAGTGTATCCCTGTTTAACAAAAAAACCATTACATGACATGCAAAGAAATTATGAGCAAACAAACGAGAACTAAAAAGACAAACTCAATACTAACTGCAGCCTTTGCAAGTGCTTTAGCAAGTAATTCCACAGCTGACAAATTTGATGAGTTTAGGAGTTCCTCTGCTTGCGAACGGAATACTGGAACTACACTGCACCACAGATAACGTATATAAATAGATATATTCAAATACAACTGAGCAAACATTTCAGCAGCGAAGCAAATCATGCCTATCTGAAACACTGAGAATAGCATCCACTGCTTCAGAACCAGCCATGTCAGCAATATCTGAAGGCTCAGGTGCAGAAATGTGCTCAAATTTGACACCAGATTGTTTTTCTATTTTAAAAATGCTATGAGAGTATCTAGGTTCATATAGCAAGATGGCAACTCCAGAATTTCCTGCAGATAAGATAAGAACATTACCAACATATCAAACTAAACAAAAAGAATAAAATCATTAAAAGTAACTTCACCATACCAGCTCGTCCAGTGCGGCCTGAACGATGGATATAAGCTTCAACATCACGTGGTGGTTCACACTGTCAAATAAAACGGATGCATCATGCATTATGCACAAGCTAGAACAAATGTTACTTGCAAAATGTTATACTTTTACCAACATATGTAATCTAAATAATTATGGCATGCTGATGATGAACATTCGCATTACAAATTCTAAATTAAGTTTTGAAAATTTCTTTCTAAAATCATGATATAGTCTTTATTCTGCAGTATCATATATTTTAAAATACATCTCATGCATTTAATATAGCAGTGCATTTCATAAAGATGTCTAAAAGATCCACTTTGGCTTCGTTTGGGACGGCTTTTTTATTGTTTCTTGAAGCAGCTTTCTAGAACAAAAATTAATTTTTGCACTAGAAAGCTACTTCAAAAAGCAGTAAATTTTTGTACTAGAAAGCTCCTTCAAGAAACAGTAAAAAAGTCATCCCAAATGAAGCCTTAAAATACACGTGAGAACTTTAAAAAATAACTAATGCATAAAATTAATCATGGACCAGGAAAGTTAGAATATTGATTTACTCTGTTGGTTTAAAATACATAACATAGCCAATACTATTTTACTGCACAACTCGCAAATGCTTGATATGTAAGAAAGCCAACCCTTTTATCAGAAATGTACATTAGCAAATTCAACAATCTTCATCAATACAATCAAATTCAAAGTTAAAATAAAAATAGCATCTCCAACATCTTAATCAAACTTGCTGATATTTAAAGGGAAAAAGCATGCCATCCGTTATACTGCGCTCAAACCACCTAGGTAAACTTGAAAGTTATCAATAAAAATATTATAACTATTCTAGCAATCACATAGGTGGGAATAGATTATCCAAACGCTATAAAGCCATATTTTCAACCCCCTAATCTGCTAATCATAATGATATGATCATAACTCATTTTATGTAACTACGATGTTGCCATATTTTAAGAAATTGAAAAGTAAAGGGGCTTGTATAAGTAATACGGTATAAAATGCACAAAAAAATAGTTAAAAGCATCACATAAGGTTGGATATCAGGTCATCATCCAAATCATTTGTCACTATGAACAATCTTAATATGAAATAGCTCAAGAAATATCAATACCTGAACAATCAATTGAACATCATTAATATCCAAGCCACGTGCTGCAACGTTAGTTGCCACCAAGACCAAAAATTTGCCAGACCTAAATCCTGCTAGTATAATCTACATCCAAACAAAGTTTGAAATATTAAGATGGAGATTTCTTACATAGACCTCATGTAATAATATGAACGCAAATCCAAATAGAAAATTCTACAGTAGATCAACCAGCCACATCACTTAATTTGACATCAGCTAATTTACCTCACGTTGTGTCTGCATTATGTCACCATGCAGGGCCCGCGATCCAGGTAATAGCCCTGAAAGTTGAGAAGCTGATTCTTTTGTCTCTGTGAAAATAATTGTACGCCCGCCACTGCATCAAATAGCAAAATATAAGTCATGGATATACTAAGATGATAAATCCAAAAATAAGGAGTTTAAGAACAAATCAAACCGGCTGTAGCAACGAATGAGGTCAGGAATAATGTGTGGCCTTGCTGCACTGGAACAGGGGAGAACCAGATGTCTAACACTGGCACTAGCTTTCAATTTCTCATTACCAACAAGATCAACAGTTTTTTTCAGCGGTTTTAGGAATCTTGCTGATATCTGTTAACATATAAAATATCAGCCCTGGTTTAATAGCAAACATATTTGAAGATTTGAGGCATTAAGAAAACATTCCAAGGACACAAAAAACAGAATTGTATATAAACGAAGCCAACCTTCTTCACCCAATCAGGAAGGGTAGCACTAAATAGAAGTGTTTGGACTTTGTTAGCATCTGCAACCTTTCCTGGAGAGAACAAAAATTATAAAAAGTATAACAAATATTTGAAAAAAGGATGCAGACTTCAGGTCTCATGACAAACACTTGTCTCAGGAAGATTCACTATTAACATAAAACCAGCGTGAAAAGCAAAGAAAATAGCTCACAAAACTTCCCAGATGAAAGTTAGCAACACCAATAAGATAATAATCTATAGAGCATTCAAACAGTGTTCTATGCATTAAAACCATTGTTTTTTTTCTTCCCGCGCCTGCAAGCATTGCCTAATGACTGATTTGACCTACCAACTTAAGAATACTTCTCTTAAACTAAAAGCCAAATAAATAAGTAGTTAACCTAGAAAAGAAGTGATATATATGTAGTCAGACAACCTATAAAAAATACTGATAGACGACTTCAATTCTATGCCAATCACAATACCACTTCAACAGAACGAGCCCGAATGAATCAATTACAAAAATTTGAAGAATACTTCTCTTAAACTAAAAGCCAAATAAGTATTTAACCTAGAAAAGAAGTGGTATATATGTAGCCAGACAGGCTATAACAAATACTGATAGGCAACTTCAATTTTCTATGTCAATCATAATACTACTTCAATAGAGCTAGCCTGGATAAATCAATAAACAAAATTTGAAGAATACTTCTCTTAAACTAAAAGCCAAATAATTTAATAGTTAACCTAGAAAAGAAGTGATATATATAGCTAGACAAGTTAAAACAAATACTGATAGACGACTTCAACTTTCTATGCCAATCACAATACCACTTCAAGAGAGCAAGCCTGGATCAATCAATAACCAAAATTTGAACAATTGGAGTAAGTTACTAACGATCATTAGTCCTTGAGCTGGATTTCATGAAAAGAACCTGTGAGAACAAACTGTGGCAACCAATTATAAGCTAACCAAGGTATAGCTCCAGCCCCATAACCTAAAAAGCTTCCTCGAATACACGTGAAACATAAGAAATCGGGAGACTCCAATTTCATAAGACATAATCCTCTCATATAAAATAATGTCAGCGAAAAATACAATCAAATAATTTGAAGATAACTAGTATTTATGAACATAATGTAAAGCACGAAACTTAACAGCCTAGGAATATGTCAAATAAAAATGATACAATGAGAAAGATAGAGATGAATTAGAGTAGTAATCTGATGAATTAGAGTAGTAATCTGATGAATTAGAGTAAACATAAACAAGTTTGGGGGTGGCATGGATAACATGTAATTTGAGTCCAACTCATGTTTGTGTTGTGCCTAGATATGTCAAGTGCTAGAACAAATAAAATCTTATACGCTTAATGGCATGTCCAGCATGATCTACAAGGGCCACTGAGTTCAAGAGTTTAGCACATTGTACAGAAAGACACGATAGCCCTCTAAAAGATTTAATTCACATATGTATTCAAATGAACATAGCATGCTCTTATTTCAAATAAATAGGCTCCTTAACAATCTTTTGAAGAGCTGCTAAGCGTGTTAAGGTTCCTGCACTAGGATTTGATTACAAATTGGCATAGAAAAGAATAAATCATTGGGTGTTCACCCCAATTACAAGATATTAGGTAAACAACAGGGGGGGAATTATTACCAAGAATGAGCTCAACATCATCCACAAAACCCATATTTAACATTTCATCAGCTTCATCAAGCACACGGAATTTCAAGGACTTCAAGTCAAGTGTACCTCTCTCTAAATGATCCTGCACGAAGTAAAGATCGTAAATGATAAAGGATCAAACTAACTTCCGTACTAGTATCAGAATATTCAAAAAGGGCATGGCAAAGAAAAAGGAAATGTGATTATACTTTTATCCTGCCAGGTGTTCCAACAACAATATCAACACCACGTCTCAATGCAAGCTCTTGGGAACGGTAAGGAGACCCTCCATATAAACAGCAGGAGGATAACCCTACTGCACCACCATAAAACTCAAAGTCCACATGCACCTGAGAATAACATGAGAAAAACAAAATAATGCAACTAAACCAGAAACAAATAAGTTAATACACATCTATCATTTAAGATCTCACTGCACCTGATTAGCAAGCTCCCTCGTGGGTAGAAGAACAAGTACAGATGGAGCCCTACCATAAGCAGTACTCCTTGAAGCCTTGTGCATCCCATTGATTAAGGACTCCAATATAGGCAAAACAAAGGCCAACGTTTTACCCTAAGTGGAAGTACAAAATATTTCCATGATGAATAAAAATCAGGCAGTAAAGAATTTTAATGCAGTAACAAATCTAAACAATTATTTTGATTCAATATAATAGTATAATACAGGACCAGATTAATCCTAAAGGAAAGAACAGAAATGAAATAGACTTTGTTATTTCAATACAAATTTAGGAATGTATATAGGTTTAAGACCTTGGGATCCCACAGTGCAGGACTCGTTCATCCGTCTCCTTTTTGGATTCGCCCAATCCAACTTTTCACCCTAGGTAGAGGAGTCATGGGTGCTACTATACAACCAATCCTAATACACAAATTGAGATGTTGAACCATTATATCTTCTCCCCCTAACCATTGAATTGCAATCCATATGCCCCTCTCCCATTACCTAGCTGCACAGCTATATATTTTTATTTCTTATTTTCATTTAAATTGCATTTACCTTTTTCAATATGTAATATCTTTGAAGGAGCCTATAAATGCCTCCAATATATGTACAAAAAGTAAGAAATAAATTCAAAGTTATTTTTATATTTCTACTTTCTTACATTGTATCATAGTGAGGTTAGGCTTCATTTCTTCCAACTTTTGTTCACTTCTTCTTATTCTTTTTTATCGCGATTATTCCTTCTCTATATTATGTTTGGTTTCTTTAACTTCTCTTTTAAGAAGTTAATAGGAAAATAATAATGATTCATAGTTCCCTAACAACTGTTGCGGGTCAAAAAAATATTTCAATTTCCCCCAATATTTACTCATTACATGTTCCTCATATATCTAAATCTTCTATCAAGTTATAAAATTGACTAAAATCATAGCTGAAAGGTATTCTTCTTTTTTTTGCTAATTATTATGTATTACAGTACCTCACTATGGGTAAGATAATTGGGCAAGGTAGAGAGAATAATGGGTTATATATTCTCGAAGATAGAAACTACTTGTCAAGCTCCTTCATATGGATTAAACTCCACCTTGCTAATTCCAGTAAGCGGCCATTAACTAAACTCTTCTACAAAAGAGAAGAACACTGTGCTGATTGTCTTATAATTTAAGCCATGTGTTTTGCCTTCATTTCGCATTGCTAGATTCATAAAAGCCTGACCAAAATTCAAACTTAAAAGAAGCATCTAAAAAGTTTGAGAGTGGTTTTATGTTCGCCTTCTTAGTAAATAACAACGACATGGTGCAAGCTTCACGAATAGAAGTGCCAACTTCAGAATTTACAGGAAGAAAAGCAGAGAAGATCCAATGAATATTAGAGAGAACCACTTCCCTACCTGACCCGTCCGTGCTCTGCCAACCAAATCAGAGCCCTCAAAAACCATGTCAAAAGTCATAGCTTGGATCTGAAACAGCGCCTTTATCCCTTTGGAGTTCAACCTCTCCCGCAAAACCTTGGAGATTCTGAAATTCGTAAGCGCATTTGGATCGGCATCTCCACCATCCTCCTCTCCACTCCCAGTGAGTTCCCCGTCACCCTCCACTTCCTCCTCAATGACCCTCGCCTTCTTCGACAGCGATCCATTCACCGCCACCTTCTTAATCGAGGCGGGTTCAACCGCGTCGGAGGAGGTATTGCTCGATTCATCTTCCTCAACGGATTTCCTCCTCTTCTTCTTCCTCTCGCCATCCTCAGGCTTGGACTTCTCGTGCTTCTTCTTCTTCTTGCTCAATTTATCCTCCTCGGCGAAGCCATTCAAATCCGGGGACATAGGATCGGGTTTCAACAGCTTCTTAGTTTTTGTGGTCTTAACTTCTTCGGTGGGAGAGTCCGGTAGGAATAGGGCGGGCATGGTGGATGTATGTGGAGCTCGGCGGCTGCGTTGAGGCAACGCAGAGCATCAAAAAGGAATTTATAGGACAAGGGTTTATGTATTTATAGTTTGCACGTTCGACGGATGCGAGAAGAAACCCTAGTTCCGTAGCGCGGTTTCCGCTATCGTCGGCTGAACTCGTAAGTAACAAGGCGTTTCCAGTATTCGACGTACCGAACACTTTTGCGAAGAAAACCCTATTTTGCGTCTAATAGAAGAGAAATTATTTTGTTCGTAATCTCATTATAGAGCTGTGTTCGGATGGTTACGTAAAAAGTTAAAAGTCCGTCATATTTATTTAATTTGAGTATTTATTGTGTATTCGTTGCGTAAAATATGCGTATTGATTGAGTATTTTATTGTGTATTTGTTACGTAATTATTGAGTATTTGTTGAGTATATGTTGCGCATTTTCTACTTAATTACAGCTTATTTGTTGCGGATTTTTCTTAGTCTGCAGTAAGTCCGAAAAGACAAACGGATCGGGTAAGAAGTCAAATGAATCTCCTAACTTTCCACGTAAGCACGCCATGTGTAATGATTTTACTGGAATCCGAACACAGCTCTATAACCGGATTTCGCACAAAATAATTTCTCCTAAAGGCAGTTTAATTTTTTCTGCTTTCTTTTTAAAAGTTTTTTTCAGCCATTATTATGATTTTTTTAAAATAACATTTTAAAATAATGATATAATTTTTATATTTCCGGCACAGATTATTTTTTACAAAATAAAATGTGAAGAGAGATTAGGAGTAATGATTATTTTTTTTAGGTTTTTTTTAAAGAATACCAGTAAGTTCAGCTTTCATTATTCAGTGTTCTATAATTATTCTATTCGGACAAGGAATAATATGTGGAGGCGAATCAGGATGTGCTACGTCGTTTTTTTACTGTGTAATAATATTGTGTACTGACGTCGCGCATTCTGATTCACCTTTGAATGGTGTTCGCACAAAATAATTTCTCGTTTTATAGAACAATAATTCAAGATCAATTTGAGGAGAGATTATTAAATGTGGAGTCTAGATCGAATAACCGTCCAAATTATGTGAGGATGTAGAGTAAATACACTTTATTTTTTTACTTTTTATTTGTTGCGTACCCTCATAAAATCCTGACGGGTCTCCCATCCGGACTCCACACATAATAATTTCTCCAATTTAAGACATTTTTTCACAGCTTTGCTTTAAGATAACAATAATTTCATTTGAATATTAATGTCTTATTATTTTCTCATAGTTTTTTTAAAAAAATTGCAATGAAAAGCCATTTTTAACTAAAATAGCTAAATTATTTTTCTCATAATACTTTTACATAATCAATTTTATAAAATACAACAACAACTTCAAAAACCATCAATCTTTTATTTTTTAATGTTTTGAAATGGTTTTTTTATTTATTTAAAATATAATGATTATAGTATAATTATCATTAAATGTTTTTCAAAAAAAAAAAAATTATAATACTCATAATAAATTTTATATTTTATATTTTTCCTCAAGAAATCTATAGAATTAGTTTTTGAGATAGCCATAACCTCCCCACATGAGCATATACATACAACCACATTGCTATATTTCCTTACAATTGGAGGTTCACTCATGTCATGATTATTCTACAAACTTAATGAGCATATACATGAAAAGGTTGGAATAGCTCGAGTGGCAGATAAGATTAGAGAGAGTCGTCTTAGATAATTTGGTCACATAAAACAACAGCCTTCCGATGACCTAGTTAGGAGAATACATATATTATAACTAAACTATGTTAAGAAAAATAAAAATAAAACCTAAAAATACTTGGTTACTAAATATTTGAATTGACATTTCTTTATTAGATCAAAATAAAAATTTGACTCTTACCAAGATGCAATGGAGAAAAAAGATTTGTATATCCGAATTCAGATTCTGTGGGTTTAACTTAAGGTTCGTTTGAGACAGTTTTCTTTCTATTTTTAAAGTAACTTTTTAATACAAAAAAAATTATTGAGCTCGAATTTTTTGTACTAGAAATTATTTTAGAAAACAATAAGAAAGTTATTCCAAATGAAACCTTATTAATCTATACCTTTTTGTGATAACAATCAAACAACAGCTTTGTAGAGTTTGGTTGAGTTATCAAAGCTTTAATGCCTATATGAAAGTTTACTGTCGCAGCAAAACTGAATGATGGAGAAACAAAACTATTATGAACAAAATTCTTTTTGCACCCAGCATATGGAGAAATTATTTTGTGCGGATTCCGAATCGTTGCTAGGCGAATCACAATGCGCTATGTCACCAAGTACACAACGTTACCGAGCAACAGTACCTAACAAATGGGTGATATGACGCGTTCTGATTCACCTCCGAACATCGTCTGGAATCCACACAAAATAATTAATCCAACATATGATATGCTCTTTTTTTTAAAAAACTTGGTACTTGAGAGCTCATTGTGGTTTTCAGTCTACCCTTAAACCTGATGGATGATTCAATGTACCTAAAATTTTCTGACAGGCCGAGTTTTGATTCAGAATGCCCTAAAATATTAGGCAGTTAAAAGTTGGCATCATCATGATTGCACATCACCTACAAAGCCTCTTACTTGCCAGGAGCATGCATGGCTTCCTGATGGCATTGACTAGTTTCTATGCGCAGTTAGAAACTAGAAAGAAACCAGGTAACTTTAGAACTGGAAAGCTAGCATGCTAGAAGTTATAAGGGAAGGCTTCGTTTGGGATGATTTTCTTTAATTTTTGTATTAGAAAGCTACTTTAAGAAACAGTAATTAAGCCTTCCCAAACAAAAGGCTTCATTTTAGATGGCTTTTTTATTGATTCTTGAAGCAACTTTTTAGTATAAAAATTAAAATTTTTGTATTGAAAGCTGCTTTAAGAAGCAGTAAAAAAGTCATCAGAAATGAAGTTTAAGGCTTCGTTTGGGACGGCTTTCTTTATGCTTCTTAAAGCAGCTTTCTACTACAAAGATTTTAATTTTTATACTGAAAAGACGTACCAAACAAAGCCTAAGACTAAGCTGAAAAGCAGCTATTATTCATATAGTATTGAGAATGATGTTTTGAGAATTATCGAATTAAATGGATGTATTTACATAGGTAGGGATCAAAAAGTTATGCCTCTCATTCTTCTGTGCATTGCTGCAGCTTCAGGAAAATTGGAAATGGATCCAAAACTCTAGTCTAAGGCCTCATTTGGGATAGTTTTTTTATTGTTTCTTAAAACAAAATTTTAATACTAAAATTTTAAGAAACGACAAAAAAAACCGTCCCAAATGAAGCCTAAATGACAAAATTCTGGCCATCCGGGGAACTTCATCAGTAATCTTATATTGGGAATGGCAGCTAATTCCAAAAAAGAAATCTCATACGCATCAGTATAACATCACTTCAAGTTCAAATTGATTTCATCATTCAAGACCATCGTTATGAGTTCGATTGATTCCAAGTATCCTGCCAGATTTACAAAAAGAAAATTTTAAGATTAAATCCTAAAGATAACTTTATATAGACCAAGCAAAATAACATAAACATAGAGCAGCAACCCGACGATGCATTATCCCCTACAAGCTTTCATTCAGTTCCCATGAAGAAAAATAAACACCAAAATAGCCGAGATGAAGTACAAAAGGGGTTCTTAATGCAGGCTTGCAGCACAAGAAACTAATTATGTATTATTTCTAGCATTTTAGAATTTTTGAGGATTTATTTCACTTAGATTTTTATCTAATAGTAGGATTATTTTTTGGTGTAGCTCCAGTGGAAGATAAGATTAGAGAGAGTCATCTTAGATGGTTCGGTCACATTAAACGGAGGCCTTCCGATGACCCGGTTAGAAAAGTTGATGTATTAGATTTGACTTATATTAAGAAAAGTAGAGGTAGACCTAAAAAAAAAGTGGTTAGAAAATATTATAAATTATTATTATTTATTAGATTTAAATGAAAATTTGACTTTTAAAAAGGCAGCCTTCCGATGATCCGGTTAGGAGAGTAGAGGTATTAGATTTGACTTGTGTTAAAAAAGATAGGGTAGACCTAAATAGACTTGGTTAGAAAATATTAGGAATGACATTTCTTTATTAGATTTAAACGAGAATTTGACTTTTAATATGACACAATGGAGAAAAAGAATTCATGTAGCCGACCCCACGTAGTGGGATAAAGGCTTGATGTTGTTGTTGTTGTTGTATTAGATTTAAATGAAAATTTAACTTTTAATAGGACACAGTGGTGAAAAAGAATTCATGTAGCCTGCCCCACGTAGTGGAACAAAGGCTTGATGTTGTTGTTGTTGTAGGATTATTTTTCTCAAAATAGATGATATCTTTCTATATCTCTGCTGACGTTTGGTAGATTATTTGATTTATGTGCAGTCATAAAAATAGCTAGATCCTATAAACTTGTGTAAAGTTGGGTCTCTTATATTTGTGATCTCACATTTGCTTGTTCTTTCATCTTGGTTTAATTTTTTATATGAAGTTTTATTATTATTCTAACAACTGAGGTTAGTGGCTTGGTTTAGAAAGATTTCAAATCAAGCACAAAGGAATGAAAGATCAAAATCGATAAATACGATGATGAGAACTTTGGGTTCCAGAAAATGCAAAAAAAGGACCATATGTACCACAGGAAAGCTCCATCAAATGCTTGAAAGGAATAAAACTGGAGTCGGTTGATCATGAAGAGCGGGAACTAATAAATAGACAAACTGAGGATTATTCGCCTATCCGGCAATCCCACAACATGAAAGTTCAGCAATCTCAATGAGATTATTATAGTAGGGTATCGTGAAATCTCTACAATAGGTGAAGCTTGAAATTAAGCAATCAGGTATTGAGGGATTTTTTTTTTTTTGTGAGGCGAGGCATAATCCTAAAGGCATTTTGAGGTGTAAGTCTCAAAATAATTCAGTAAATTAATTAAAAATATAAAAAATAATAAGTACATATTAGCATTAAAGTAAGAAGTTAAAAAATAATAATAATAAGTTAAATTATGGCAATTAAAAAACATGCAAGGCTACAAACAATGCTAAATAAATAGTCTCTACCACTCCCAGTTCAACACACGTGCCCCCCCTAAAAAAATTGAATTTTTTTTTTTAATCTCAATACAAAATTAAGTTGGTAACTTCAAAAATTAATTCGGAGACCATATGAACTCCGATTTCAATAAACTTACAGTCGAATTGAACCTTTCAAAAACACAAACCTAACGACACCAAATTCAACTCAATCCGAACCAAAATGACTCCAAATCAAAGACCCGAAGCATATTTGGAAGGTTCAAACCATAACTTGGATTAACAAATGGTTTCCAAACATAACATGCTTATAGTGGAATCAAGCGGCTAGACAAGACGAATCCAACGAGCCCAAGAGTCGCAAATTATGATATCACTAAGACATTTAAATGCCAATAAACGGTCCACGATCAAGAAATTAACATCGATCATCCATAAATCACTCCCAATTAATTCCTATTCATTTACATTTTTTTTCTTGATTGATATTAGCTTAATCCTATATTGATTCGATCTAAAGAGATTTAATGATTTTTTTTTTTTTAAATGAGATTTTTAATATCACGTATTTAGTTAATATATTTAATATCACGTATTTAGTTAATATATTAAACACGTTCTAGATGAAATCGAGTGATTTGATGATTGAAGTCATTTTGTGAAGGGAAAAAAATAAAGTAATTCACTAACAAAGTTTTATCATTTTTAATATTGATTATATTGGTCCTAAGTCTGATGTAAAAAATTGAAGAAAAATAATTATATAATAAAAAAAATTTAGGCCCCCCTAGAGATATTTTCTGGCTCCGCCACTGGTTCAACATAAATAAATAATTTATGATCATAATTTATAATTTCAAAAACCTACCACACTGTTTACCAATACAGAGTCTTCATTAGAATCACTAATGTAATTAATTAATTTATCTCCTTCCTCATACTAAAAATAAAAAAATGGGTTTCCAAAAAAAAAAGGGGAGGCGTTGGATAAGAAACAATGATGATGTTACAACTAGGGGTGTAAGTGAGCTGAGTCAACTCACAAGCCAACTTGAGCTCAACTCGTTAATGAGCTCACAAGTTGAGTTTATCGAGCCACGAGTTTGAGCTCGAGCCTATACTCATGCTCGTATATTAAACGACCTAGAGCTTTGCCTAGCTCAGTGCAAAAGCTCATTGAGCTATTTGATTAACTTAAAATATATTTAAAAATTAATTTAAATTAACATTATAAAATATATTTTAATATTTTTAAATTAATTCTATATTAAAAATAAAATTCAAAAAATCATAAAACTTTTAATTTAAAACTAAGAAGTCGAGCTCAACACTCGAGTCAAGCTTGAGCATTCCAAAAAAGCTCGAGCAATAAAGTCAAGCTCGAGCAATAAAGTCGAACTCGATTCTATAAATTTTAAACGAGTTGAGCTCGAGCTTAGTAAGAACTAAACAACTTTATAAAATCTTGTAGGATCAAATTCACGTCTTGTTACTACCAAAATAAGACCTTACAAAGTGTTTTGGCATCACACAACCACATGCAAACAAAGAAAGAGAGAAGAGATATAAAGGGATGGTGGAAGAGAAAGGACAAAGAGCTTTTATCTGACAAAGAAAGGGGAACTTTTAGGGTTCTTGCAACAGGGTATTTGACTTCTTTAAGAACGAAGATATCCTATTATTTTATATTCTGGTACGATAATAAATCTCTGTTCACCATAACAAATTATGTTCACTATAAGAGATCTAGCAAAATCTTATAGAATTTTGTAATTAATTTTATATTTCAAACCCATGTCTTATTACCACCATAAATAAAGCCTTAAGGAGACAACTACAATAACATCTTCTCTACATTAAGCCCTCTTGATTGCAGCAGGTCATTGTCCTCTCTTAGTGTCACCTACTCATTATTATAAACATAAGGATATCCCTGCTCTATCTCCACATTTCTATTAAATGTAATCTCTTCATATATCTCTTTGAAGTTTGATGGATTATTTGATTTATGTGTGATAGTGGACATAAGTGGATCTCAGAAAATCACATAAACTTATGTCTTGTCATCTTGCGCTTGCAGTTCTCTCATCTTAGTTTAATTTTTTGTTCGAAGTTCTATTACTATCCTAAAAGCTGGCATCTGATGGCATGGTTTAGAAATATTTTAAATTGAGAATGGAGGGCAAGAAGATCAAAATAAACAAATGTTATAACTGAAATTTTGGGTTCCAGAGATCAGTTAGACCGGTCCAACCGGTCCGAAGGGACTGGCTTACGCGAACAAAGGTGAAAATGTTCGCCTCCTGTACGCTGAATGCAAGCCTCAAGGGTTAGGGAGCTGTTTTGGAATGATTTTTGAGGGATTTGGGAGGGAAATTGAATGTAGGGCAATTTAGAGATTTCCTTTTGAATTGTAAGCATTAAATAGTTCGTTTTCTTAGGGTTAGGGCATCTTGAATTTGGCTGAAATTTGCTATCTCTTAGTTTCTTTGAGCTCTAGCGGCTTCTAGGGATTTGGGAGAGAAAGATCCTCCTCTCGAATAGAGGATCAATTGTATTTTGGTATTTTCCGTTTCCCTTTCAACAAATAATACAAATTATCTACTGTTTCGTGATTTTGGGTGGATTTTTGTGGAGAATTCTCGTTGTTTTCCGAAGATTGATAGGAAATACTTGAGATTTACAAGTGTTGTCTATCAAATTGGTATCAGAGCACGTCGATCTAAGGGGAATCAATGGCCGAAAGGAAAGTAGATGTTTTGGAGGGAGAACGTGGGAATTCAAAGCAGATTTTTAGAAGATTGATGGTTTTTAAAATCAAATCGCATCCATCAATGAAAGGATGGAGGGAAAGTTTTCCCTGGTGGAAGACATGTTAAAGAAATTGCTTGAAGCCAAACCCAAACAGGCAACATCGGAAGCAAAGGAAACTACCGGCGACAATGGAAGAGGTGGTAACCCTCACACGTTTAGGGGAAAGAAAAATCCAGAAGTGGAGATCCTGGAGGGAGAAGACGGAATGCCTCCTCTAGAACCACTTTCTAGGGAAGAGATGAGCATTGGCAACGCAAAAAGGGGTGCTGAATTTGTAAGGAGATGGGATGATTTCGATCGTCGAGTGCTGATTTTGAAAGAAGAAGAGGGGATTTTGAGGAAGGATTTGGGTATAAGCGCTGAAGGGAAGAGCGTGACGATTGGGGGGGCACCTCGTCTTCGACGAATGAGAGGCTATGGAGGACTCAGGGGAAACGAGGGTGACCCGAAGGTGAGAAAGCTGAAGATGCACATCTTTGAGAGAGAGAACACACATGGGTGGATCTACAAGGTAGAAAGATATTTCACCATCAATGAGTTGACGGAGGAGGAGAGACTGAAGGCAACGGGTGGAAGGTAAGGCTTTATCTTGGTACCAGTGGAGGAACATGCAACAACCCATATGAAGTTGGAGAGAGTTCAATGATTGTTTGATGGAACGTTTCCAAAGCATAGGAGGTGACTTCTACAAGCAATTCTTTGCCTTGACACACGATGGTTCAGTGGTGGAGTATCGGGAGAGATTCGAGTACCATGCTAGCCGATTGGACAGCCTTCCCAAGATAGTGCTAGAGGAAATTTTCATGAAGGGACTAACACCAGAGATCTGAGCAGCGATTAGAGTAATGAGGCCTCGAGACTTGGGAGAGGCTATGAAGCTAGCTCAATTGGTGGAGGATTAGAGGCACCTGGAGAGAGTGATGGGAGGAAGCAGCTTAGGAGGTCTGAACAAGAGGATCACTACCTTTCTAGCACCCAAGGAGCTGACACCGAGTACTTTTCGGGAGACTACGAAGGAGAAGACTGTAGGAGTAAGACCTGGGGACAACTTTAAGAAGCTCACAGAAACAGAATTACAAGAGAAAAGGGCGAAGGGGCACTGTTTTAGATGTGATGAGAGGTATACATTAGGGCACATGTGTAAGGACCAAACTCTTCAGGTTCTTACCGTTTGTGATGAAGAAGGAATGGAGAAGAGTGTCGTCTTTTCACTTTGCAGATAAGGTGGATCTTTGGGAGGGGAGTTTTTTAGACCGGTCCAACCAATCCCTTATGTGAACAGAGGCGAAAATATCTGCCTCCTGTACGCGCCTAACGCAAGCCGCAAGGCTTAGGGAGCTGTTTTGGAATGATTTTTGAGGGATTTGGGAGGGAAATTTGAATGTATGGACTGTTTAGAGAGTTCCTTTTGAATTGTAAGCAATGAATAGTTGGTTTTCCTAGGGTTAGAGCATCTTGAATTTGGCTGAAATTTGAGATCTCTTAATTTCTTTGGGCTCTAGCGGCGTCTAGATATTTGAGAGAGAAAGATTCTCCTCTCGAACAGATGATCAATTGTATCTTGGTATTTTTCATTTACGTTTCATCAAATAATACAAATTATCTACTGTTTCATAGTTTTGTGTGGAGAATTCTTACTGTTTTCCGAAGATTGATAGGAAATACTTGAGATCTACAAGTGTTTCCTATCAATATATTGACATAAAGTATGCCATCAACTTCATGGTTTTGCTTATTCATATAACATGAATGATTTTATGAATGGATTATGCTGCGAATGATAAATATGACAATGAATCTACAATTGGTAAAGGATCCTTGTGAAGTCAAGGCATATTAACGGGCTTGTAAGAGTGAGAAAGGCATAGCTCTATGCCCCTGAATAGGAGTATAGGAGGATGGTAGAACCACTAATAGAGTCTGACTTTTGGTATAAAAATGGATGGCTAAAGACCATGATGAAGATTCCCATTACATGAAGGATATGCAAAATGCCTGATAAAGCAACCACATGTATAATGGAATCATGCCACTTCTTTCTTATGTATTGATTTACATGGACATGATGACTACAACAACAACATCATCAAACTTTTATCCCACTATATGGGGTCGGCTAAATGAATCATTTTTCTTCATTGTTCTATTAAGAGTCAAATTGATGTGAAACAAAATCCTATGCGAAAATAATTTGCTTATTGAAGTTTGCACGCTTAGATTTAGAGGCAATAGTAAGTAAGATCTTATACGGAACTGAACGATAAGATAAATATTAAGTGGAACTTAGCTTAGGTTAATTTTCATGCATAGAAGTTAAGTTCAAAAGATAGCCATCTTAATCCAACATTGCATACGTAGATTGTTCCAACAATAAATTCCAATACTAACAATAAGATTAGGCTATGAAAGATCCCTCACACAACTCTTCTAATTACTAGGCTTTAGCGGAGAAGCGTCAACTTGGTCGTCATGAATTTACTATACCACAATTGAGAATAACTACGAAGGTAAAAGAGTCGGGGAAAGAGTTTACTCAAAGACGAGAGATTACGAAACTTCCGGTTTGATCACCAAGGCACTGGATGACGAGTAATCAGCACATCAAGGCTTGGACACGGTTTGGGGAAGAAGTGGGAAGCAATACAAGGTTTGGGGAACCTTCTGGACGGCAATCGAAGACCCTCTGAACAGCAAGACAGCCGTAGGAACTCTGCTAGGATGGCTGGACAGCAACTACAGATGTTTGGGTGGTCACTAGGAAAGCTGGGCCAGCAATTTTGACCCTTGAAAAACTTCGGACAGCAGCCTTTGAGGTTAGAAACGCCTTGGACAGCACGTGAGGGATTTCTGGTCAGCAAACATGAGCAGGTTCTGGCAGCACTATGGCTGGTTGGAACTTCCCGGACAGAAATTTCCACTTGGAAAATTGCTGGACAGCAATTTACTGCAGCTTTTAGGAGTTAGGTTTTGAATTTTGAATCCCCAACTCATGTGATCAATGCCATAAAGTGGCATTTAATGGACTTAATCCCAAGCAAGGCCGGCGGCTTAGAGAGGGGAGAGGGAGTTTCATTTCATAATCTGAAATTAATTTCAGATTATGAATGAAATTAAGGGGGGTTATTTTGAAATTTGAATTTTTGGATCAAGGCATTGATGGCATTAAACTAGCATTAAATAGATTTCCCCCTTGATGAGGCCGGCGGCATGTAGAGAGGAGAGGAGGGAGATTAGTGTGAATAAATCAATTTCCGATTAGGAGGATGCCACCTAGGATGAGAATTAGTAACTCCTCATGCCATGAAATTTGAATTGGATTCAATCCAATTCTTTCCTTATTTGGACTTTGGCAATTATGGAAATTTTGGAGCTCATTCAAATTTGAATTTTTGAAATTTGAAGAACAAGTGGGTGATGACGTGGAGGTAAGTTATGAGAACTCCAATTTAATTTAATTTGAAATTGGAATTTATCAAATAAAACTTTCCTAAATTGGATTTCCAAATTAGGAAAGAATTCGAAATTCGAAATTCAAATTTCAAATTTGGAGCATGCAATAATCATCATCCCTTTCCAAGAGGGAGGGGAGGGCTTAAATAGCCAAATACATGAGAGAAAATAAAAAACACAATTGCCCCTAGGGCAAACATAAAACAAAGCCCTCAAGTGAGGGTAGAAATGGAAAAGTACAAATAACAAATAAAATACATGAAAATAAATAGACACGATCGTAGCCGTTGATCTTCGATGTCCTCATCACAAATTCTCATTTTAATCTAATAAAAAAGGTCATTTCTAATATTTTCTAATCAAGTCAAATTCTCATGGACATGATAACTAATATAGAAAAAAAGGAATGATTGCTTACATGCTTTAAATCATCTTTTCTATGGATTGTCTGGTCTATTAGACTGTCACCTATTGAACTTTAGGCTCACTTCTATTATGTGGATAACTATTCGTTAGGAGTGCATTAAAGGAAGCAGGTCGAGTGAGGCCACGGTAAGGTAAGTAATGATGACGGAGATTCGATCTTCTTGTTTACTTCAGAACTTGTTCAATGATGTAATTGGTCAATGTAAAAGATGTACATTATGAGAACTATGATGTGTAAATGCATTGCATATCATCCCGTGTTTCAACAAATAAGAGTACTTGATATAATCCGCTACAAATGTTTCTTAATGTGTTAATCGTTGTATATGAATTAAGTTTAGAGATGATTTGATCGGAATAATAATGATGAACTGAAAAGTTGTGATAGAATATAGTTTCTTAATGTATTAAAGATTGTTTATATGAATTACGTTTAGAGATGATTTTATCTGAATAATAATGATGAACTGAATTATGATAGAATTATCTCTGCTTCTCAATCCAACCAAGTCTGTGTGATTTCCTACAGGAGCTGAGCTATGATCCCCCTCCCCTCGTCTAGATGGCTCTACGGTAATACTGTAAAAACATCTCCAAACTATTTTCACAAGTAGTACTACTTTCTTATCGGGAGTTAGAAATACTTAGAGACAAAAAAAAAGGTGTACAGGCTATAAAATTTATTTATTTATATACATTATTTACCTAAGCTTATTTCACCATGTTTTGAAGTCAAAATTTATCTCTTTCGTCAACAATTAAGATGCCTCAGCTTTCTAACATCTTCATTTTGTACACGCATCATCTGCACATGGAAATGTTGTCACTCAGCTACAATCATCAGAAGGCCCAAAGAAAATAATTGCTAATATTATATGATAAGATACCCCTCATGCAGCTGTTCTGAACTTTATTCCACACTCTTTTGAGTCCTGCAAATACAAGAAATCTAAGAAATATTTTGAAATATTAAAATGCAAATGAACCAGTGGTATTTTGACAAAAAGAATTTATTGCAAGAGAAAAACCAATACAAGAATCTTAAGTAGTTACATGAATGGACTCGGAAATTATGTCCAAGTCGGATTGACCTGCGATGTTTCTGAAGATAAAGAGAGCTAATGCAAGGCAACAAAAATGGAGCGAACGTTTAGAATGTTAGTAAATAATGATATTCCTCAAAGAGGTTAGATAAAGTTGTATAAATTATCAGAAATGGAAATTCTCATAATGATTAAGTGATTTGTACAAAAGAACTCAAACATACCTTGTTAAAAAGCTCTGATAGAGGATTATGCTGCTGACTCCTATTAATGGTTGAAAAGCTGCATTTCTGTTAAGAAATTCATAAAAATTGTCCAAGTAAATTAAATCACACTATTCTTAAACCTATTGATTCCTTTTTTTGGTGCTATGCATGATATGTATATGATGACTACTTTTGTTTGCTGAAACATAAACTTATGTTAAAAAAATTAATTACAAAAATGTTTAAGCTAACTTAGATCACCCTACTCTTAATAAGCATATACAGTTGGAAACTTGAAACATAAGCAGTTGTTTTCTGCCTGATTCATTAAAAGGCAATGCCCACTGGAATCTGTTTTGTTCGAGTAATTCCAAGTTAAGCTTTTTCTACTGCTATGACCAGCTGATAAATAGAAAATCAACATAATAAGGGCTTCTTGAAATTGATAACATTTAAGAATGATAGAGAAATTTAATGCCTGTTTAATGTACATTTAGATGACAATGATTAATGGCTCAAAAAAACTTATACCTCATATAACATATGAAGGAAAAAAATGAACAAAAACACACCCTTTACGGCTTACCTTCTCATTGCGGTTTTGACTGCGGAGTTTCTGAGTGCTTCCTCTTGCTTTCTTATCATCACTAATACATAACACAAGTAAGCTCGTGACAAGCAAGCATAAGGTTATAAAAATTTACAAAAATGTTCATAAGAAATTACAAAGATGTTAAGCTTTCATGGTTACTTAAAATTTGTCTTATCAATTTCCATTATTCTTAAATGAAAAGAGAAAGCATAAATGATGAACGTTTTGCAAAATGTTGGGTTCAAGTCATGATAATAATCACCAAAAATAATTCTTTAAGCTACAGTCTTCATATGTTAAAGATAAAATAATCCAAAGTGTATTGCATTCTCAGGGAAAAAATATCCTCCATGACTGTCTCATTCTCATGGTCAAATACTCAAAAATTGGAGCATGATAAAAAGTTTCAGCTTATCTTGTTACAAACTGACCTACACGCTTTAGCATGTAGGGTGCAGCCCATTAAGTTCGAATTCTGCCACAACTCACATCAAAGCCTATTTAGTTTTGCAAGCTTACATAATGATGGTTTTGTCAGAATAGACAAAATATTATAACTTATATCAGAACAAAATAGGGGTGCCAAGGTTTGAAGCCAGGACTGCTTGCTCTAATGTCATGTTGCATGCTCATTACCAATGGATGCTTACGGTCAAAGATTGTAAGTTAACAAAAATAATTTTATATTATAACAAATATGATATAATTGTAAATAACATTTTCACAAACATATATGAAATGACAGTAATGAAACAAATTGGATGCAAGAATACTAACATAAGTGGATTCAAATATTAAGATGATGATAGAAAAATGAAACCATATAACTCTATGGATAAGAACCAGATGCTACTAATATTAATATTACAAAAAAAAAAAAAGATACAAGATATTATATCTGAATGCATTGAAGATAAAAAATTAGAAGAGCAACCACAAATGTTACAACTTAAGATCAAAAGGATGAATGATAGAAGCAAAGTAAAATTTTCATGCCAAAAAGAAAAACGGCATCATAAACTAACTTCTTGTGAACTTGGAAGTATCAAGAATACCTAGCTAAGACCTTACATTACTTGTGTACAAACTTTCTCGAAGGTCCAAGGATCAATGCGTTAAATAATTTACACAAGAAGTGGTTGGGGAGTGTTATTATAGTAAGGACAAGAGATGGCGTTCATAGATTACAGAAGAGAATTTGAGAAAGCAAAAGTGTTTGGATCAATGATGACTCAAATTTCAAATGAATAACAGAGCATCGAAAAAGATTTGCTACAAACTGAAATGACATGAATATTGCAGTAATATTTCAGTGCCTGCTATCATTTTCAGCAATTGAAAATTTAACAATTACTAAAAAGTTCAGGTCGTAAATGTCATCTTACATGGCCCTTTTTGACAAATTAGAAGGCTGATATTCTGATATTTTAGAGTCCATCGAGCAATCTTTTACAATTGAAATGGAGGCAAGATTATCTGGGATCTGCAACAAAATTTTGACCATTCAATACCAAGTTCAAGTTCCTTAACACTATCACGCATAAAAAGATTTACAGAATTATTCATACAATATGTGATAGAAAACCATTGTAGAACTAAAGTGTTTCTTATCAATAATGAAATTTCAACAAACTTCCACCAAGATACTATAACCAAATCAAGCAAAACAGCGAGAAAACTCATAATAATTGATGAAATGGAAGGAAAATACCAAGATACAATTGATCCTAAATTCGGGAGGAGAATCATTCTCTCCCAAATCTCTAGACATTGCTAGAGCCCAAGACACCGAAGCCTCCAACATAAAGTTCGGAAAAAACATAGATAACATTAAGCCTAATCCCTCCCTTCTACTTAAAGCATACAATTAAAACCAAACAAATTACTAAACAGCCCATGCCTCCTTAATTCCAGCCCTAGCTGCCCCCTCCTTCCTATTTGAAATCATTAAAATCCATATAATGAGCTCAAAAACTCAGCAGTAATCCAAAACTCATTAAACCCTTCCATGTAAGGACTAAAGACTTAATATGCAATGCTCAGTCGAATAAAATCAATAGCAATCAATGTAGTTAATGACCAAATATTATCAATAAAACTCAAAATAATCAATAATAAAAATATAGAATCATTACAATGAATGTAAAAATTAACAATTGATATAACATTCAATAAATCGATAAAACAATGATGCATAAATCATTCATATATTACTAAAAGAATATATCTTATCTATTCATATGCATTATTTATTTATGTATTATCAATGCATTCAATATTGTCAATGATATTATCTTTTAATATCATTAATGCTATCAATGTATGATTTAGGCAGACAGAACATCCAACTTTAATTGGTATTTTCAACATATTTTACCTTAACTAATTTTCATTTGGTCATCAGTCATAGTAATTATCACTTATCCAATTAATTAATTATCAAATTTAATTAATCAATTATCATTATAGGTGGTTTCATTAAATTAATAAAGAATCATCACTCTCTACCCGTCAGTGTAATCAATCATCTGTTACAGGTTACAACCGGGGTAACACCACAAATCATCTTTCAAGAAAATACGGCCGGCCCACCCTCCTTTGCAGGTTATCATATTTTAATAGCCAACCTATTTTATAGTATTAACAGTCAATCTTTCTCGCTTATATAAATGCCACAATCAAAATACAGTCGAAAATAATCAATTTTGTTAAATAAAAAAATCTATATAATAATCAAAATTATTGAAAACTAAAATAAGATTTGATTTACAACAAATAGAAGAAATCTCTGAATAAAATTGATAGATAAAAAAGCTCTGAACAACCTTCCCTCTCTTCCCTCTCTTCCCTCTCTCTTATTCGATAAGGCACGACGTTGAAATTCAATTTTTTATTTTAAAAAAATTTGAATTATTATAGTGGCCATCTCAGCATTGCCTCAATTTTAGCCTGATCAGCGGCCACCTCCTTCTGAGAAACTACATGTCTCAAATACTCCAAACTAACCTTTGTAAAGCAATATTTCTTCAAATTATCCCTCAGCTGTTGCTCCTATAACACCTCTAGGACCATCCTCAAGTGCTCCCAACGTTCCTCATCTGACTTGTTATACACCAGAATATCTTCAAAGAAAACCAACACAAATCTCCTGAGATGGAGTCGAAACACCCTATTCATGAGGGACTGGAATGTAGTTGGGGCATTAGTGAGGCCAAAAGACATCACCAAGAACTCATAATGTACCTCATGCATTTTGAAAGCATTCATAGGTATGTCCCCCTTTCATTCTGATTTGATGTTACCCGGACTTCAAATATATCTTGGTGAAAAAAACTGCCCCACTCAGCACATCTATCACTGAGATGAGAAACTTATTTTCACTGAGATGAAAAACTTATCTGGCACAATTTCCTAATTCAAAGCCCTATAATCGACATAGAACCTGCAACTCCCGACCTTTTTCTTAACCAGTAAGATTGGGCTAGAAAAAGGGCAACACATCAGGCCTGATTATCCATGTTTCTAGCATTTCTTTGATCAATTTATCAATTTCATCCTTCTGAAATTAAGGATAACGGTATAGCCTGACACTGATGGGTGACACCCCATCCCTCAGGTGATGCATGCTCCTGCTCCTTTGATAATGGCAATCCTTGAGATAGCTGAAAGACCTTATTGAATTGTTGTATCAGCGACTGTACTGAAAGAGGAATGTCTCTACCATCCTCCAAAATGATCCCCTCTAGTCTTTGTAGCTCCACCAGGAAACTACCCCAACCTCCTGTATACTTCTCACCATGATTTTGAGGGACATCATGGCTTTGGATAACCCTGTATCTCCCCTGATCGCTACTCTTCTCCTCTCCACCACCAACTCCATGATCAACGCCCCTCAGTTAACCTTAGAATTTTCCAAGGTCTGCAATCATTTCATACCGAGGATGATATCAGTGCTGCCTAACTCCACTAAGAGAAACTCCTCTTTCACCTGAATCCTCTGTATGGCCAGCACCACTCCCTTACAGATGCCCTTGCCCGTCTCCACCTTCTACGTGCCCATCATCACTCTATAGCACCATATATCCATCAATGTCACCCCCAATTAGTCCATGACCTAGTTGGAGATGAAATAGTGGATAACCCCACTGTCCATCAACACTAACACCTCACAGTCTGCTATTTCCTCCTTCACCTTTATGGTATGAATTGGAGTGAATCCTACCACTGAGTTCAGGGAGACTTCGCCACGTCCAGATACAGTATGTCCTCCTCCTCCACCCATGTATCACTCTCACTTCCCTCTTCAGCTTTCTCATCATCACAAACGATGAGAACTTGAAGAGTTCGCTCTCTGCACCTGTGCCCCATAGTATATTTCTCATCACATTGAAAGAATAATCCCTTTGCCCTCTTTTCCCACACCTCTCTCTCAGTCATCTTTTTGAAATTTCCCCCACTCTCTCCTTCCATAGGCTTCTCCCTAGGGGTTTCAAAAAGGTTGCCCAGCATAGGCCCCTTGGATGCTAAACAATGGGGGTCATATTATATAGCCACCTAAACTGCCCCCTCTGGCTCCCCTCTCCTGATACTTCTGATCCTCCACCAGCTGAGCTAGCTCCATAGCCTCTCCCAAGTCTCGAGGCCTCATGACTCTCATTGCTGCTTGGATTTCTGATTTAAGCCCCTTCATGAAATTCTCTTCCACAACAATCTCAAAAAGTCAATCCAGTCAGCTAGCTAGGTACTCAAATCACTCACAGTATTCTGCCACCGCACCTTCTTGTATCAAGGCAAATAATTGTTCATGGAAGTCAACTGCTAAGCACTCCCTCTAACTCCATATGGGTCATCCCATGCCTCTCCACTGGAAACAAGCCAAAACCCTTCCCTTCCAAACAGAAACCAACTGCCGTCAATTTCTCCTCCTCCGTCAACCCATTGATGGCGAAATATATCTTTACCTTGTAAATCCACCCGTGTGCATTCTCCCCTTTAAAGATAGATATCTTCAGTTTCTGGACCTTTGCATCTTCTCCATTTCCCCTAATTCCGCCATAATTTCCCCTTCCCTTAGTGGGTGGTCCTCCCCAAGTGTCTCGATCCTCCCTTCTACGTTCACTCCCAAACCATTCTTCAATTTCCCCCCCCCCTCAAAATCAACACCCCTTTGCTCATACCCCACATATACACATCTCTCCCCATACCTTCCACCTCACTCCTCCCTCTGGAAAGGTTCCATATGGGGTCATCTCTCTTCTCCCTCTATGATCTCCATATCATTTTCATCACTATGAATTTCAGAATTCATATATCTCCCTACTGGCACTCTTGCCTCTGATGTTGCTGCTTGGTTTTGATGATCCCATATGTTCTACACCATCTCCTGCAGATTTGAGAATTTGCCTTCATGGAGGAAATTCTATCCTCCGCCGTCGCTTTGATTTGACACATCTCACCCTCAAGACATTCTTCCAAATCATCCACCTTCTTGGCCGTCATCGCTATTCGGATCTTATTAGACTCAAAATCCATATTCAATCCAAAAAACAGCAAAACCACTTCTCGGAATAGAAAAAACTGCTGCAGGAAACCAACAAAAACAGCCCAGAAAACTGCTTCGATAACAATTTGATAGGAAACCTTTGTAGAACTCAAGCATTTCTTATCAATAATGGAATTTTTGCGAACTTCCACCAAGATATTCCAACTAAATCAAGCAAAATAGTGGGAAAACTCGTAATAATTGATGAAACAGAAGGAAAATACCAAGATACAATTGATCCTCAATTCGAGAGGAGGATCGTTCTCTTCCAAATCTCTAGACGTCGCTAGAGCTCAAGACATAAAGCCTCCAAAAGAAATTCAGAAAAAAAGTAGATAACCCTAACCCTAATCCCTCCCTTCTCCTTAAAGCATACAATTAAAACCAAATAAATAAATAAATAGCAAAAAAATACTATTAAAACCAAGAAAAAAACTAAATAAATAAAACAAAACAAAAAATACGATTAAAACTAATCAAATTACTAAACAACCCATGCCTCAATTCCAGCACTAGTCGGCCCCTCCTTCCTATTAGAATTCCTAGTGGGCACCTCAAGAGGCGGGTGAAATAGCAAGGGGCGGACCAGGCTTGGTTCACCTGGAATAGACTTGGGCCAAGGCCGGCTGGACCGGTCTAACAATATGATGATAATGCAGATCCTTAACAGTTTACTTGTATATGCATACGGCTAACTGTGGTGTTGTGCATTATGTTTGCAAGAACTATTTAGTTAAAATCGTAAATTTTGAGGTACTGTACTGTACAAACGATGTTGTGGTAGCCATTGAACGCAGAATAGCTCTCTCAGATGTCTTCAGTTTAAACTCCTACATAAAAAGCATGATAACGTTTAGTGTGCATCAGCTCTGTGTTGCTGATCAAACCTTCCAACATAAGAAAATGTTATATTTAAAAAAAGATGTGAAAAATTAATGTTGCTAGCAAGGCTCACCTGAAATTCAGGCAACTTTGGTGTGCTCTTCTGAGGGAAAGGCAACGAGGGAGCTTCAAGAATCTGTAACGCCAACTAGTTAAGGCCATATCAAAGAGGAAAAATAAACTATAGGCAAGCCCTTAAAAGTTGAACACTTTACTTTTCGGTTCAATGGAAGAGCTTTGAATGTAGATGTGCTGGCTTTTATCCCTTCAGTGTGATCAGATCTAGAAAAATTAAAAACGAATAAATTTCATTCTCAAGGAAAAGCTATCTATGTGACAAAAGTTAGATAGCCTGACCTGTGAGCTCTGAAAGTTTTTGCCCGCCGTGCTGTTTCCAGCACAGGTTCTCTTGGAATTGTGAGCCTCATTTTTGTAAGATGAGAATTGCGATTAACAAAGCACTCCTGCATCGTAAACTAAATTGAGGCTCCTAAAACAACTGAGAACAAATGCATAACTATGCACCCTACCAATTTTAAATCCTCTTATGCAGCTTTTTTGTAGAAAAGTTCCAAAGAAGAGAGAGCCATAAAAATGCAGAACTAAATCCATTTTAACTAGGGAAGTAAATAGATGTAAAAAAAAGCAATGCATCACTGATTTTATTTATTATGGTGGATCGCATTGCAAAATAAGAGCTGAAACAGGAAATATATGCATGCGACTAGAGTAAAATTTTTTGCTTGAATAGAAATGATATAAATTGAACTTAAAATTTTACCTTCTTTGAACTTTTGTGCAGTAGATCACTTTCTTGCATTGTACCCACAACCTGTATTTTAGTTTTAAAAAAGAAAGATTCAAGTCATGTAAAGCAAGGCTTAAATGAAAAAATAACCAATGAAACACAATTGTGAATATCAGCAACTCAAATTTCAATAAAATTTAATATTTAATATTTATCAAAATTTAAAATATTTCTAATGGACCGGTCGATTTGATTGAGAGAGAATCATGAAGTTTCCTAATCAAGAGAGAATTGTTTCGGAAGGTTATTAATCAAAGGAAAATTATTTAGGAATGTTTAACTTACAATTGGGAGAAAATTTTAAGTAAGAAATTTAATTTGAATTCAAAATCTAAGAGGGAATTATTTAGGAAAAAGAAGGAATTAAGGGGGGATTGTTTAGAAAAATTTTAATTATAATTGGGAGAAAATTAATTAGGGAAATAAATATAATTTGAATTCAAATCTGATAGGGAATTATTTAGGGAAAAGGGACTGATTTGAGAGGGAATTATGGGAGCCTATTTGAGGGAAAGGGGGCTGATTTGAGAGGGAATTATGGGAGCCTACTTGAGGCTAATAATAGGGTAATTTCAAGAGGATGTTTTGAGTTTCGTGCAATTAGAATTTCTTGGGTTGTGAGGGCTCTAGCCACCGGCTAGGGATTTAGGTGAGTTTGGTATTTCTCTCTAATTGAAGATCCAAGTGTATCTTCCTGGTCTCTTTCATATCTCTTGCAATAAAAAAAATTGGTGTATTCTTCTTAATTTCTTATTGTTGTTCACTAGTTTCAAGAAAATTGTATCCATTTCCTATTAAATCAGTATCAGAGCACTTTTTAGGAACACGTGGTGGCAAAGAAAATTGATGACTTGGAAAATGTCTTAAAGAAAAAGTTGGCCAACTCAAATCGGCGTATGAGGATAAAATGACATCAATGAAGGAAAAGTTTTCCAACCTAGAAGGAATGATAAGGAAACTATTGGAGCTTCAAACCCAACTGACAACATCGAAGTCGTTAGCACCGTTGATTGGACTGGAAAGTGGGGGAAACCCTAATATATGGATGATGAGAGAGGATCGGAAGGTAAAAGTTTTGGGGGAAGAGAGAAGATGCCATCTTTGGAGCCACGTCCAAGGAGGGAAAAGGGTGAAGGAGTGAGATTTTTTGTGGAGCTGAAAAGTTGGGAAGGAGAAGAAGATGGGGAGAAGATAGAAGCACCAAACATGGTTCAGCCACTCCTACAGCAATATCAAGAGTTGTTCAAGCCAGTTCAGGGGTTGCCTCCTCCACAGGAATGCTAGCATGCGATCATCTTGAAGAAAAGAGTCTCACCTATTAGTGTCAGTTGTACCGTCATCCCCAAATACAGAAGAATAAGATCAAGATATTTCTTAAGGAGATGCTGGAGGAAGGGATCATTCGACCCAGTGTTAGTCCACTTTTCAATCCGATACCATTAATCAAGTGCTTCAGCAGCAGTTTCCTTCGTTCCACCTTGAGGACAAAGTGGCACTTTGGGAGGGGAGTATTAATGAACCGGCCAATTTGATTGGGAGGGAATCACAAAGTTTCTTAATCAAGAGAAAGCTATTTATGAATGTTATTAATCAAAGGGGAATTATTTAGGAATGTTTAAATTACAATTGGGAGGGAATTATTTAAGCAAGAGATTTAATTTGAATTGAAAATCTAAGAGGGAATTATTTAGGGGAAAAGGAGGATGAATTAAGGGGGGGTTGTTTAGAAAAAATTTTAATCACGATTGGGAGGGAATTAATTAGGGAAATAAATCTAATTTGAATTCAAATCTAAGAGGGAATTATTTAGGGAAAGGGGAATGATTTGGTAGGGAATTATGGGAGTATATTTAAGGCAAATAATAGGGTGATTTCAGGAGGATGTTTTGAGTTTGATGAAATTAGAATTTCTTAGGTTGTGAGGGCTCTAGCCACCGGCTAGGGATTTGGGAGAGTCAGATCTTCGTCTCCAATTGAAGATCCAAGTGCATCTTGCTATTTTCTTTCATATATCTTGCAATAAAAAAAGGTTTTTGTGTGTTCTTCTTAATTTCATATTGACGTTCACTAACTTCAAGAAAATTGTATCCATTTCCTATCAATTTCAAATAAAATCTATATCATGTAACTTAAAGCAAAAAATTCATCCACTATACGCAAGCATTTATTAGGGGCAATAAGTTTAAGAATAATCGTAGCTTAGAAAAAGTTAATATCTAGTTGAACATATCACTAAAACTTATTCTCAAGAGTCTCTCATTAGTAAAGATGTGACAAGTGTCTTTGAACTGGTAGCTTTGATGTCAAATGACACCACATGTGATCGGTTATGACTGGGACACTGATAGGGTGATTTTGCTGCAGAAAACATCATTAAATTACAATCACAACCATAGCTCGTATATTCTTCAATGGAAAAAAATTCTTGAGTAATTAATAATAAGGTATATTTAATATAGCACAAAACCCTATAGTTAACTGTTAACTTGAATTTGTCCTCTCGGATAAATATTCACCTCATGTCTATAAGATATCCTTGGACGAAGCAACTAAAGACTACCAACACAAATATTTCCGCCAGGTTGGGTTAATTAACTTTGATTGAATAGACTATCGATCATGATAATCCAGAATGATGAAATCATGAGATTTTGATCAGGTTTGTCCCACCATTCTCTTTAAATATATGATAATAAATTTCATATCATAATATCAAAATTATTGTTATTATATGGTCCGCACTTGGTGTCTATCTAATGACTAGCCTTAATTGAAAGTTTTCTCATTATCGAGATGGGTAATTAAACATAGGGTTTATACATATGAGAAACCTAACCTCAAATTATAAAGTCTACGCAAAATGAGGGCAAAATTTATAGATGGTGTATAATTATAAATCTAATCTACCTCATAAAAATTTGATGTGAAACGTAATGCATGGAAACAAGAACTACTTGGGGATTTTAATATAAGATTGTTAAAGCTTTGCTAGTTATAGAATTAATGCTTACCCAAATTAAGTTCTCGGAATTATCAAGTCGAAATTAAGTAAGGCATGTGTTACAACTAAATTAACGGGACAATATCAAATTGACAACATAGGATTAGATAGTAATGTTATGGAGAGAAACAATAATCCATAATTAACAAATAGAACTTTTCACCTTGGGTCTCACACTCACTCTCTTGTTAGTGGAACTTTTAATGGAGGAAGATTAAGAGCAACCGAGCGATGCCACTAGGAGACAAATGGCGCACAAAGTGTAGTCCGTTGGAGTGGTAGCCGGTGGCGGGTAGTCCATGGGATGACTCGTGAGCATCCAACGTCTTATCCTTTCTTCCTTGATCATCAAAGACGAATCTGTGGTTGATGTTGGGATCGGCCGTCCATGGATGTGGAGAACTCTCTTCTTGAGCCCTTGAGCCGACCACTTGTCGAAGCAAAAGCGGAGAAGAGGGGGGGAGTCGGCTATGGTGGGGGCTAGAGGCAAATGCAGGAAATCTGAAATAAAATTCAGATTTTAGTTGTTTATGAGAGGGATTTAATTTGAATTTCAAATTAATCCAAGTAGGGGGAGAGGGGCGGCAATGGGGAGAAGGTTTGGGCTGAATTTGTGGAGCTATTAAGGTGATTAGGAGAGAGAGAGGAGGTCATTAAGGGGCCGGCCATGTAGGAGGTGAGGTGGCGTTGAGGTTTTAAGTAGGTGGGGACCACTAGTCTTAATTTCAGGATTTTTAATAAAATCTGAAATTAAAACTTTAGTGTTTAATTGCGGAAAGCAGATGTCCTAAATTAAAGACATTCAATTAAGATTGATTTTCGATTTCAAATTCAAATTTAAAATACAATTAAATTGAGGGCATGATTTAAGGAAACCATTTAGGAAGTAATTAATGGCTCAAGAAGCCCCAAAAATTTCAAATTGAAATTCAGGGGGGGGGGGAGGAGGCGGTGGCATGAGGAAAGTGGGCCGGCGGGCTGGGGATGGCCGACGGCTTGGGCTTCGGACCGGATACCTGGGCAAGCCGGCAGGGGGCGGCGGCAAGAGAGCAGGTGAAGGGCACGGGTAGAGAAATTTTAAGGATCCAAGGAATGAAATCCAATCTTCCACAAATACCTCAACCCAAATTTCCGAGCCGATGAAGGGATAAAAAAAAAGAACTAAAAGGAAAATAATAGAACAAGGAAATCTAGTAACTCACAAAGAGATATAGCTTCTCCCTACGAACTCACTAAGAGATCGAGGAGGTTTGCACTCACAAAGAGAACAAGAAATGTAAACTTTCATTCATCCAAAAACTAACTATTACATAAGAAAATGGTCATATATAGGTCTCCTAATGAAAAAGAAAATAAAAGACTAAAATGCCCCTTGGGCTACAATAGCGACTAAATACCCATAAGGGCAAAAACGGAAACACATAAAAATCAAATAAACTACTACATAAAATTACTCAAAATAAAACTCATGATCGTGGCCGTCGATCTCCGGCGTCTCCTGATGGTACATGTGTCAAAATCTCTGACGATGTCCTCATCAAAATTTGACCAAGAACTTCATCCGTCAAAACTCTCCCAAATGCGAAGAAACCAAGGTGCAAATTTTCGGAGCCCACATTCATTAAATATATTAATAATTAATAAAAATAATTCGGTTAGGCATTTCTCTGATTGCATTTTATCATTAGTTTATCATGTATTTCTCTCAAAATAACCTGATCCAAGACAATCGGCCATCACTGATGAGCATTTTTCACCTGATGAGTGAGAAATGTGATCATTTAAATAGTAAATAGAAGTCAAGAGGGGCAAGGAAGCAAGTCCACAGTGGACCATAGGGATCAGGAGACTTTTACTTGCGGACTAGGAGAATAAGGTGATTCCCACTCCAAACCAGGCTCCTTTCATCTTTTATATGTGTTAAAGTAGAAGAAATATCATCATTTAGGTATTCATTATGCAGATTCTAGCGAATGCCATTATTTAGACACAGGAAACAGCTACATGAACAATGAAATTGTTTGTAAAGCATCTCAGACACAACTAAAGGTTAAATGTACTAGGACTTTAGCAATTTGAATAAAGACCATGTCATGTCATCCTGGTGATTTGCATTCAGAAAATATGCAAGCAGGAAAAAGCTACAATAACAAAAAAAGAAAGACTCGGCATACTCTGGTAATAGACAACAAGAAATAAATGGAGTTACATATTTACCCAACTAAACAATGAATATATGTGCAAATTCAACAAAAATTGCTCAATAATATCATCATCTCCGGTTATGGAATTTATATCATAAAATGCCAAGGTCACTCAGATTCTCTCAAGATTATGTACGCGAAATTTGCAGAATAAAATAAACAAAATGATAGTACCTTGCATACAAGACCTCCGTCTACTTTTTGCCTTTTGGCAGCCTGAAGCAAACTATGTACTGGATCTTCAGAGCTCCTACTTTGTGAAGGTAATGGCTTCTGACACCTGTTAAAATGGGAAAATAAATCCTTACTTCTTAGATAAAACTAGAATTTCATAACCTTTGTTGTGTTTTTTGAACTTATAGTAGATTGTTAGATTAATCATGGAAGATAATGTACTGAAGAAGATACAACACGGTGGATTCCTCAAAAAAAGATTAAAAATATAATAGCAGAACTACTTGTAGATGCAATGGGAAAAAGTAAAATAAATAGTAGAGTATGCATAATTAATTATCTAAGCAAACGCTTGGCCTAAATGAGGAGCATTAGGGATATAACATGCTCGAGTCATCTATCTAGAGAAAAAAGATGAATATTAATAATCAAAATTAAACAGTTATAAAACAGAGCTGCACATTGCTTACACCGACCGGCTAGAACTCCTCTTTACTGAATTTTGTGTAGACAATTGACTTGTGGTTGGCTTCATAAAAAATGGATTACTCGAACCTGTCCCATCAACAGCAGCATGTTCATTAGTATTTGTAAGATCTTCAAGTCCTACACAATTAAAGAAAAGGAAAACCTGTGTGAAATGAAAGAGAAACACGAATAGGGAGATGAGAGTGAAAGCTGCTTTTGTAGTCATCTCGCTGGTCATAAATACATAAATGCAACATACTAATAACAATGAAAAAGGGTGAGAGAGGAGAGTGATGCATATTATATGATCTTTAGGAAAAATAAGCTAAAAATCTAACATTGAAAGCTTAAATAAGAGATTAAGCATAAGGGAATCCCAATACCTGCTAAGCTTCCACAAAGAAGAGATGAATCCATATAAGCATATACACCCATTTGAGCATTAAAAGAATCCACATCTCTGATCTTAAAAAATGCAGCATCTATATTCTCCTGCTTTCCTTTCTTGCCAAAACTTATCTTGACTATCACAGCTGACAAATCAAGTAGAGCTGTTAGAATCATAGCATATTGCTTCAAAAACCTGTCCCGAGTAGCGGCAGGTATGATAGCTCAATAAAACAACGTGCAGCAAAATTTCAAATGTGCTAATTAAATTACAAATAAAATACACAGAAATTTTAAGCCACACCTGTGAAAACCCGAAAATGTCGTTTTAGACCTCGCACGCTTTTCAAAGCGCCGCGACGAGTTTTAAGTGAAAAATTCAATGTTTTCGGATTTCAACGGGTTGTCAATAACGTTATTATCAGAAACATCAAGCATTCAGCTGGATCCAATGGTAGGGCTAAGAATAAAGATGATGAAGGTGATAATCATTCAAATGTGCTCAAATCATGTAAGTTGTATAGAAAAAGAAAACAAACTGGTCAAGAAAACATTTATTACTTCACATGCATGGCACAGTATTTTATTGTATAGCGCAGATACAATTGCTTATCAGGCCATTCATTCGTTGGTATTGTTCCTTTCTTCTTCTAAAGGGATTTATGTTTATCATAGCTATAGAAACTAATATTTAAAATAGATACCCAAGGAAACTTTTCATACTTGTGACTGAGACCATCCGCAATATACTAACAAGCAAAGCAAATAAAGGGCAGAGATGTACTTCAATAGAAATATGTAAACAACAATCAATTGATATCAACCACCTAAGCTGCCTCCAGCTTCATCTTTATTACTATAGGCTCCGAATAATTCGCGCCTTCTTCATACTAAGAGAGTTTTAGGTGGTTACGTGTCAAATTTTTATGAGACAAATTAAGCCTAGGATAAGACACCACCCGAAAATTTGCCCTCATTTTGCAAAGACTTTATCAACTGAGTCCAAGTTTCTCGTAGGTACAAGCTCCTATAATTAATTACTCTTCCCTATTAAAAGAAAGAAATCTACCTTTTCCTTATTACGTGACTTGTCCTTATGTCATCGTCGCTTGATCTTTTACTATGGCTTATCAAAACCACTGTAGCTTGTCCTTCAGCCTCTTCTTCAAGATTAATATCATCCTCCGGTTTTTTCCCAACGATGTACTAACAAAACTAACATCATTTGCACACATCAAATCATTTGCTACTACATCAACTTCTTGTTTCTCCTGTAGGTAATATCTTCCTATGTTTTGTGAGAAGTGCGTTGTTGTTTCCAACGCAATGTTATGGCCACAAATTTTCTCAAAAACATCATACAAATGAAAAGTATTATAACGAAACCTTGCCAGCTTTGGCTTATCCTACATAAAAGATTAATATTGCATTACTCCAAGTACAAGTAGCAAAATATAATGAAAAATAATATGTATCAACGGTTACCTATATGAATTCATCCTATACCTCGTTAGTAGCTACATGTAGGTGTGGAGTTTCATCCCAACCCCATCCACTACAATTGAATAGTTGATATATTATGTGAAAATCCGACTTCATATTCTTGAATCAGGTCATTACGACAACTTTAGTATAGTTTCCAGCAACATGACAATTTAGATTATTAACTAATATTGTCCATACTTTCTTTTTCAAAACACCGTTAGTAATGTTTCCACGTATAAATTGCTTCATAAGTAACTCTCCAAATATGATGTTATGATGCAGCGTTGCACAGCTTTGTCTTTCAAAAATCTTTTCAATTTTGTTGCACAAATGTTAAATAAGTGTTGAAACAGAGAAACTCTATTTATCTACTGGGTTACACTTGAAACAAATGAACATGCTAGATGTGCAACATTGGTAAATGCAGCTTTAATTCTTTTGGTTGTGGCTATAACATAAGAGATAATTTATATTTGAGGACCCCTTATCACTCAAAGTGTCTATATTATCAATTCCATTTTGGCCACAAATATTTTATTGGGTTCGCCAAAAGATACCGATAAACAATCAATGTTATTTGTTTTTCTCCATTTGGTAGTACTCTGATTGGGGACGAAACAAATTTGTCTACACGTTGATCTTGGGAAGTATTAGTAATCATGATATCCTATGGCTAGTTATGCTCAAGTTCATCAAACACAACTAGCAGTATGTGCCAATTTTGACTCCACTACCCCAAAATTTAATAAAACTTATTTATGATCATACACGTCCGGGTATAACCTTAGTTCACGTTATAGTAATAAGTAGCTGAAATTTTTTATCATATCAATATGATTTAAACAACATTTTAAAATAGATTATTGGTTGCAATTAAGGTAAATTACTGCATAAAGTCGACCTTAAAGAGGATACCAAACAGCTAACCCTTGTCACTGAAGAAGAATTGGGTGACAGAAGAAAAGCATGCTCTTAATTGGTTTCGGTAAAGTGGTACTAAAATAGCTGCTACAACAATCCTTGGGAACTATATGAAACTTTGATTACTGAAACAAAATAAATAAATATATTTGACTTAAGAAAAGTACACAGCAAGAAGCATCTTTCAAATCAATTAAATTCACTCGTGAACATCTTTATAGTTTAACTATGTTCTCCAACCAACTCACTGGATTTTGATTTTTATCCAGCCACACGAGCCTTAGGTTTCAATAAACAATCTAACGGGGTTTTCCAGTATGCAGACAAGGAAAAAGGGAAAGCAAAATAAACAAATACAGAGGTATGAAAACGTCCAAACAGCAAGATTAATCCATAATTCCATATCAGATTGAATACTATAAAGAATGCTTCAGAGGTATAAACTTAGAGCTTCATTAGGTTGCAACTAGTTTTCTTCATCATATGTGGAGTCAGAGATTAAGTGCCCACTTCCAGAGCCTTCTTTTACTCCTCCACACTACTTCCTTACACCATTGATATGAATTCTTCCATAACTCCTCTCCAGTTGAGCCAGAAGGAACAATTTGGTTAGATCTTAGGAGTAATGTACTTGGGGAGGATAGAATTAGACACGAGAAGCAAGAGTAAGCCCTCAATTCAATACAACGCCTGTTCTAGTAAAACAATAATCCAGAACAAAAGTTACCTATCGCTGTTTATCCACTGTAGATTGTAATTGATCCTCTAGAAAACTCGACGCGGGGGGGAGGAAGAAGAAGACGGGGCGATGGAATCCGCCATACGCAGATAAATTTTATAGGATTGGGGAGTTCGGCAATGCGGTATTGGAGGAAGCAACATCACACCAGCTCCTTATGGAGACCATATGCCTTGCTACCTGGAAGAGATAAGGCAAGGAACAATTGGGGCACAGGATGGACAAGGCTTCGTTCCATTGTAATGTTAAATCCATTGAAATCCCAAATTTGGTAAATCCAAGATTTATGGCAAAAATGGAGAAAATGGGGTAAAATGCGGATTTAACTTACTGTTAGCTTTAACTTTGTGTTTTTAGACATTTAACAATATTTAAATCAAATCTTGTTCAAATCCCCTGCATCCAAACAGCCCCTTGCCCTTGGACATACAAAAGCATAATCCTCAGGGTTAGTTATTCATGCATTTTTTACATTGTAGGGAGAACTCTAAAACCCTGAGCATAACCTTAGGCTTAAAAGTTATTTCCCCAATAAGGGTCACAACGTCATACCTTAGGTAGTATCCTTGGAGGTATAAGATTTAATATTTCCATTGTGAAACTCGGTAACCTACAGGTTCTAGGACATCTCTATTGAATTGATTCTTCTCATGGTCGTTAATTTGATTTCCATGGGTCCTTTCCAAGAGGAAAACCTCCTTGAATTGAATGTAGACCTCTAATTTCATGGTCCTTGGTGGTCAGAACATGACCTCAAGCTAAGAGAGATTCAACTACAAAATTTACCAGTATAAAAACCACTTTCCAGCACCCAACAATGATACAAGCTTCAAACTTCTTTGTCCAGTTGGTCCCTGCGCCCATGTAATGTTTATTCATTTGATGAATCTTAAATAGTTATTAGCATATATTGATCGGTAGGATGCCAAATTGGTCTGCAAACTGATCTCAACTATCAACATATGAAAGTTTGCTGGTATGTTTTCACATGCCTTTAAAACAGCCAGGAACACTAGAGAGGATTGAATGGGCTCATATATGCATGTTGTCACTGACTCTTCTCAACATTCTTCTCTTGGGAGAGATTTTCTAAGTTATTATGAAGATTTTTTTTTTAATGTCTAACTAAAACAGTGTCAAACAAAACAAATTTCCACAAAAAGATAAAAAAAACATCCCTTTCGTTATGAATACCACACAGAGAAAGTAAAATAAAGTTAAAAAAAAAAGGATGTTCATATCTATTTTCCTAAAACCTTCAGCAATATTTAACAAAAGCTCAACTATTTCCCTCTCAGTTTCTCCCTAACAAACATCAGCATTCAGCGAATTCTGAAACACCGCGCTAAGTTTTTTTTTTTTTTTTTAAAGACGATCAAGCAACGCAACAAAACAAATAAAAGAAACAAATAGTATAACGAACCAGAGCAACCAAAAAAATCAAAATGAGAAACCCTAGAATCCGGCGTAAGAAGACGTACGAGAAGGAGGGTAGTTCCCGGCAGTCTCAAACCAGAGCTCCGCCTCCTTGGCTTCCGACGCCAACTCCTTCCTCCCCAATTCGAAATACCGCGGAGCATCGTACTCGTACTCAATATCCACATTGGAGCAATGGCAATCCTTTTCACCCTCCAATTCCAAATCCATTTCCCCTTCCATCGTGTTCCCGAACGACACGGTGAGAAACAAGAGCAAAGCTCCTAAAGCCTTCCGCTTCCTCTTTCACACTGATACTAGCAAGTCGACGTCACGCGGCACTGAAAGAAAGCCATCGGCGAGAAATCCGCACATAAATGTGGCGTATTAGCCGACGGGAAACCGAGGGAGGAGTGCAAATGGACAACCAGTTTGAACGGGAGCGGAACGAAGGATGTGTAAAGACAAATAGGTCCAACTTTCCTTCGCCCCCGCGCTAGATTTTTGTTCTTTATTTGAATAAAGGATTAAGGGTATTCATGGCAATAATGAGACGTACGTGTCTGAGTTCCTGCACTTCCTGTACTCCTCGGGATCAGGATAGTAAGAAGATGTACTCGGCTTAACCGAACCCGACCGCTTCCAAAAAACATTTTTGAAAACTTCCGCACAAAAAAACGAACCCGACCGGGCTCGAAAATTTGAGGAAAATGTCTCGCCGGAATAAATTTTAAAAAATAAATTCTCACTGCATCCTATGAAAAAAAAATTTAAATGATAACTCTCTATATAATTTGCGACGAAATAAAAAAATTGAAAAAAAAAATGTATCAGAATGAGTCTAAAAATTTTAATTTTATTTAAAATTAATATGATATAAATTTTAACTAATTTTTCATATTTTTATCTAATTGAAAATGAATTTAATAATTTTTAGATTCATCCTTAAAATAATTGATAAAATATAAGGTATTAATAGTTCTATTTTGATAAAATATGCCATAGAGATTTATTAAAGTTAAATTAAATTTGAATGTATTTAAAAATATATAAAAATAGATTGGTTTTCTTTTTGTTCATCAAAATATTATATTGATTAAGAATTAAAATAATTAAAGGAAAACTTTTAATTACTTGTTATTTCTTTTATATTTTTTAGATATTTTAAATGTATGATATGCGATAAAATAAATAAAAAAATATGAAAGTTAATAACTCTACTTCTAACTTATTTTTTAGTATTCCATCAAAGTTAGATTATACTGACTCCAAAGCCAAAACTTATTGAGCTTAGCACATAGAAACTGGAAACTTGATGAGTTGACCTAATGCATTGCTATGCTCGCTCCATTCAATTGATCATTTGATCAATATGAGCCATTGCTTATAAAGGATTTATGAATACATTTGTTAATATAGGTTGATAAGCAAGGATTACCAATTATAATCACTTGGCATAAATATTTAGTTATTCAATTAACGAAAATTATTAACAATTTTCTGTCAAAATCGTCGGGCGGGCAGATGCCGGGTTAACCCGGGCAGTGCAGTCAGCTCATTTCTAACGGGTAAGTCCGAGTCGACTTCGGATTAGCGGGTTGACCTAGTCCCGACCTATTTTTTCAAATGAGTCGAATTCAAGAACCCAAATCCAAACCATTTGCGAAACAGGTTGATCTAAACCCAAAATTTTAGAGTTGAATTCGTATCATATTTTCGAGTCGTGTCAAATATTGACACCCCTAACATGAAGCCCTTTATGCTTCATAATCATAAGCCCTTCATCAAAATTAGAACAATCATCACGATCATCATTACTATAAAATAATATAAACATTAATTTTCATAATTTTCTAAACATTCTTACAATAAAAAAACCAATTTTCTTGTATGATTCTTCATTAAAATTAAAAAAGAGATAAGGCTGATAACAAATAACTTAATAATTGTTATCTATTCAGTATTATCTCCTATGCTCCAAAACAAAACACTACCATCCCAAAAGTAAATCTATATATACTTTCATTTTCAAAAGCCTACTCAGGCAAACAAATATGACTTCTTCTTTGATGAAGGCTCCATTTGGAACACTTTCTTTGCAGTTTTTAGAAAGTGATAAAAAACTGTCCCAAACGGGAGAAATTATTACGTGCGATCAACGGATGCCGTCCAGAGGCGAATCAGGACGTGCCACATCATCATTTTACTGTGTACTGTATAACGTGGCGCATCCAAATTCACCTTCTAACAATCCAGTAAATATACGTAATAATTTCTTCCCAAACAAAATCTAAATGCATAATAAATATAATGCAGAACCTGTCGCTTCTGAATGGAAATTATGGCTGGCTATGAAAAACAGGCGCCACTGTGCATTAACCTTTTCAACATGCAAACAAAAACAAAACAAGAGAAAGCGAAAAGTTGACTTTGAAATGCACTCAAAGACAAATATGAGCGCCCCAGATGTAGTAATGATGTCAGAATTTAAAGGATTGAATCCATTATTCAGCCATTACAGATCGCCATTTTGATGACTTTGAGCAAAATGAATAAGTCCACTCACCTATATGTTGCATTCATTTTAGATATTGATGTTTACTTTCTTAAGAAATTTGATTTATTCAACAATTTTGAGTCAACTTCGCCTTCCTTTGAATGGTTTTCTTATTTGTTTCTTAGATTTTGTTTGGGATGACTTTTTACTGTTTCTTAAAGTAATTTTTTAGTACATAAATTTTATTTTTTGTTCTAAAAAATTGCTTTAAGAAGTAGTAAGAAATTCTTCCCAAACAAATTCTTAAAACAACTTTCAAGCACAAAAATTTTGTACTAAAAAACTGCTTTAAGAAGCAGTAAAAAAACCGTCCCTAACGAAACCTTCATCTACGATCTGAGACACTTGTGTCTTCAAGTTATGACGAACCTATAGTCCGAGTCAAGAGCCTCGATTGGTTGAGTAATGATTTGATTATGCCAGCTCGATAAGACTTGGGGGATACGATGAAGACTTCGACCGAGGCTGAAAGATTTGGCGTCAAGCTAAAGGGTGACATAGGCAGCCCGATTTGATTTGGAATGTGCTCTTACCGACTTTTCATGATTGGGTGACGAATGTTCTAAGTAATAAGAGTAGTAAAAAAATTATTTTAATTGGTTTCAGCCAATTTTGATGATTTCAATTGAAAATTGGTGATCAAAATGATTAAAATATGTTCGGAACTATGAAAATTTTAACCAAAAATAATTGAAACTATTAAACATCAACCAAGTTTCTATAAGAATATTCTTTCATTTTTTTATCAAAATAATATTTTTTATAAATAACTATACATTTAAAAAAATACAGTTAAAATTTCAAAATATTGAAATAATAACCTTGGACTACGTGAGACCATAATTAAATTTTATAGCCTTGAATTTTATTGATTATACATTTCTTTTCCTGTCTTATTCAACCTTCAATTCTTTTTTTCTTTTAAAGATTTTATTAGGATATTTACATATGTTATGAAATTTTTTTATTTAAACATATTTAAGATTTAAATGTTTATATTTATTTATATAACATATAAAATTTAAAACATAAGATTGATGATTAAATAATTTATAATAGAAAGCTGGTTTAGAAATCAATAAAACAACTGTCTGAAATGAAGCTTAAGTCGCCATAATGGACAGTAGTAAAAAATTTATCTGGTTTTTAATGTGTCCTTGCTTGTAAAATATTTGAAAAGTTGTAATCTTTGAGTTCGTTTGAGAACTTGTTGTAGAAAGCAACTTTCTAGCCTATATATTTTTGATGGAATATTTTTTTGTTATTTCATGTACATAATAGGAATTGTAGACTTGCCTCTCTCTCTCTCTCTCTCCTCTCATAATTTCTCATTGTGTTGGGCCAATGTCTCCAACTATATTTTAGTGAAACCAAAATACACTCTATATCTCAATGTCTATATTTCTACCTTCAAAATTGAGCAATTTATCTACTATGATTTTATCTTTAATGAATTTATCTAAAGTTGAGAAAATTTGGGTCAAAATATTTGAACTCAATTTTGATTATGATGACTTTTATAATAATTAGAATTATTTTGAGCTGACTGCAATGCATCATTTACAAATTATATTTCTAGTATTTTTATCTTAAAATAAATTCATTGTTTATAAAAATAATCTCAATCAAGTTATGATGTTGCGTCCTAGAATATTTGCAGCGATAGAGAAATATAAAGTTTAGCATCTTAACTTTGTACGAAGATCCAACATGCATACAAATAAAAGAGTAGAGTGTAATATTTATAAGAGATACCAAGGGTTTTACTTAGAAAACCTTAAAAAGGGAAAAAATCACGGGGCCTAATCCAGTTTGAATGAATCCACTAATATTTGTAGTTGATTACAAATAAGTCTCTTCCTTGTGGAGAGGACCTTAGCTCGATGTATACATTGTGTAAAGCACAATATATATTTGGAGAATAACATGACAATTATTCTTAAGAGAGTGTTGGCATATTTGTTTGGTCAATAGGATCATTGTCGGTGGGCAACGATGGATGCATGGAAGGACCATGATTGAAAGGTGTTGGTGGTCAAAAGAATGGTTGTTGACAGGCGATGTTGGTTAGAAGAACCGTAGTCGGCTGGTGACATGGTCAGTGAGCGACGGTGGTAGGAGAAACTGTAGTTGATGGGCGACGGTGATCAGGAGGGCCATAGTCGAAGAATAATAGTTAGAAAGATCATAGTCGAGCGACAGTGGTCAAAAGGATCATAGTCGGGCAACGTTGGCTGGATGGATCGTAGTTGAACAATGGTAGTTAGAAGGATTGTAGTTGGAGAGCGACATGGTCAGCAAGCGACAATGGCCAGAAAGAATTTGGATGGCGGTCGGCTGTCGACGGCAAGGTGGAAGTCTAGTGGCGTTCGATGACCAAATGGAAGTCCAGCAATGGTAGGCAGCCGCAATTCAAGCTTGAAAAAGCAAGAGAAATCCTTTGTTTTTCATCTCTTCCTCCTCCTCTTTGTAAGGAATGAAAGTTTTTTTTATAATTTTTTAAGAGTGACATAACTAGTAAATAGGGAGAAGATCAAGGGCATATTGAGATTGTTTTGAATGGACGACCGATATTGACTCCCTTGATCATAGACCTTTTACTGAGTATTTAAATATCTTAATGATGTTAGAAATTGGCGATCTTGGGCTCATTGGATTCTTCTCGTTGAGCCGCTCAATTTGACTATAAGCATGTCACATTTAGATATCATTTGGTCATCCAATTAATGTTTTGAAGATTCTAAAGAGCTTTAGGCCCTTGATTTGAAGCTTCCAAATAATTTCTGGCCCTTGATTTGGACCCTTTGGGTTTGGATTGGACCAATTTTGGTGAGTTGGGCTTGTCTCTTCGATACATTCACTTCAATAATAAGTTTATCGAAGTTGGAGTTTGGATGACTCCGAATTTAATTTTGGAAGTTTCCCATTAAAAATTTCTCTGAGATTGGTGCCTGATCAAGATAATTTTTTGATGATATATCAATTATAATTAAGCTACCTTGATCCATAATTTTTGTCATGAGTTCATCGCCTTTTTCAGAGCCAAGTTATCTTTCTACTTATATGTTCTATGGATGTTGCATTTATGTCTGTTGTAAATTAAAATTGTTACATGGTAGAAAATTTGTGGCCTTAGAGTTCCTATTTTAAATCTTAGCTTTGAATAAGCATTCTAACACTCACAGAATAAAGTTGTAAGAGATTATGATTTTTTACATAAAAATCCCAAGAATGAGAAAAATTGTGGTCTAGCCCAGTTGCAATAATTCACTATATATTAGGAGATATTAGATAACTACCTTCTTAGCAATTAATGAAGATGAGATTATAAATAATTGAGAACAATTATTTGATTTTTATTATAGAGGTTATATAAATCATGTGTTCACAAGCGAACAATTAAAATCAAACAATAAGATAAACAATGATGGTGGTGGTTCTTGGTGGTGGTCGTCATCAATGATGGCTAGAAAAAATGCAAAAGGGTTCCTTAGATTTTTCAGTTCTTGAACCTCCCCTTCATGCACAGAATTAGGCCATATTTATAGCATATTTGAGAGAGTCAGTTTGGTAAATTTGTGTAGAATCCAAAACACTCAACTATAAGCTCATATTGAACCCCTTGATTGTAGATACTTTATAAAGTATTTGATTATTTTAACGATGCCAACATTAAATGATCTTAAGTTTGTTAGATTCGTTTCATTTCAATGAGCCACTCTATTTGCTATATGCACCTAATATATGGAGATTGTTTTATCCCTCAATTATTATTTTTAAAGTTTTTAAATTTTGTTTCATGTGCTTTATTGAAACTCATTAGGAGTTAGATTAGATCAAATGTGGTGTCGATGGATTTGTCACGTCACGACGTTTAATTTGACTACAAGTTTATTGAAATTAGAGTTCAATTGGTCTTGTAATTAATCGCATATGTTTTCAATTCAAATATTGCATCGAGATTTGTGTCTACAAAGCAAATTTTTTTAAAGATCGTCAAGGGTTTTCTTTGAATTGATTTTATAATGCTAAAATATTCTACATTTTTTCTTTTCCACACATTTATTCTTGTTTTATATTCATGTTTTTTCCTCAAAATGGAAATTTATAATTTAAAACTAAATTTAATTATTGGTGTGTGCTAAAACATTCACAGTGATAGAGTTGGAGATTTTATTGTTTTAATATTTATATTAAGATACACATAAAATAGAAGAGTCTAACAATTATAAGACCTAGAGTTTAAAAATTTAAGAAAAAGGAAAACCCGTTTGGTCTAGCTTGTTCAAATGGTTCCAAATACTTATCATTGGTTACAAATGATGTATTTCCTTGGAGGTAAGCATTATTTTAGGCTTCGTTTGAGATAGCTTTTGTTCTGCTTTTTAAAACGGCTTCCTAGTACAAAAAAAATCAAATTAAAAAAAATTGTAGTAAAAAGTTATTTTAGAAAGTAGAAGAACACCGTCCCAAACGAAACTTTAATCTTGTGAACATACAATGTATAGATCATACATTGTGGTTAAAGTCGGAAAAGTTGTTGTCAAGATATCATTTGCTTGTTTATTTTGTTGCACTCATTTTAAAAGAGGAGACTAAAGACCAAGAAACTTATCATGAATCTTGATGTCAACGTAGGAGGCTAAAGTGGTATCGATGGCATGCCTCAATCTTATAGCAATTGGGTGCATTGACATTCTTAATGATTATAAGTGACAAAGCTAGCGGGTGTCTGTGTGGTCATGCGATTTGCAAGTCAATGGATTCTAGTTGGGCTATAGTGATCGAATGATCGTAGTATTGTCATGGTAGTGCAATGATGATGATGTCATGGTAGTGCAATGATGATGATAGAGTGGTGATTAGACAGGGGTGGTTCGAAGGCAGTGGTCAGGTGATGTCATAATAACAACAGTTAGGTGATAGTCAAACGATGTCAATCGGGTGGCGGTCTTGACATTGATGATGGCAATCGAGTGGGTTTTCCAATAGTGATGGTCGGACGATAGTGCTCGAATGAAGCTCCAAGATTTTTACAACCTCCAATCTCTCATGAATCTCAAGTCAGTCCAAGCTTCTTATCTTTTTCATGTGTGGACTAGGGTCTATTAATAATACTTTTAGAATATATATTTTGACAAATTTAGAAAAAATTGCTTCACAGTCCATCGGATAACTTATATCGAATCATTCGATCATACACTATTTATGCATCATCTAAGTACTTTAATGGCATCATAATCAAATTATATTGAGTTTGTTGGATTCATCTGGTTTATTTCTTCATTTTGATTATAATTACGTGAAATTTAAAGTCCATTTAGTCATCCAATTTATACCCCAATTTTTTTTAACTATTTTTTTCAATGTTTTATTTGGACTCATTTGGATTCATATCAGATCATCTTTGGTGTTGTTTGATTCTTCTTGTCAAGGCGTTCGATTTGACTGTAAGTTTTCTAAAATAGGACTTCAATGATTCTAAATTGAATTATGAAAGTTTTCTTAATATTATTTATTTCATATTCAGTAGCATTAAATAAATCATACATTTTATAATTAAAATCATAAATATTTTTATGGTATATGAGAAATTTTAATAACATGGTATTTTCTATACATTATATTAATTAATGTGGCAAAATTCAAACAGAGAGATTGTTCAGCTTCACCTCATGCTATACATTAGGTCTGATTTTATAATAAAAACATAATATGTTATCTCTGACCTAAAATTATTTTATTTTTACTCATATTTTATGATCAAATTGGTAATTTAAAAAATTAAAAGAAAAAAAAAGGATTGTTATTTTTATGTTACTTATTTGATGTTCTATTTATATTGCTAATGAAAAATTTATATATATAATTAATATTAAAATTACATGTCAAATTTTAATTAGAAAACAATTGTTCTTCCATAATTTTCTTTTATATATTATAAAATCTTCTCCAACATTATTTTCATTATCATTCTTAAATATAATTATCACAAGCGATTTGAATTAGATTTATTAATTTATTTTACTTATTTAGAAATAATTTATATATTTGCACTATTAAATGTTATAAATAATATTACCATATAAAGAACAATCTTTATTTGCAATCAATATTATATTAACTATAATTTATTATTTTTATCTTCTCACTTTGCTTTCACAATCTATCACTATCCAAATTTAGAGCAATTATTGTCATAATTTCTTTATTGTATCAAATAATTAATGCTTAATTATGGATTGAAAAATTATAGAATTTTTATTATCTTTGTAAATTGTTTTGTATATTTGTGTAAATTTACTTATAAATGTTAGACATAGATATATATATATATTTTAATTTTAATATTAAAAATATTATTGAGATGATATTAATTGTAATTCAAAATTTCATAATATTATTTTTAAATAAAATTTTATTTAAATAGTAATTCACGTGCTATATTTTTTTTTTCAAATAAGGAGACAAATTCCCATCGACAGTATCTGAGGCATTCCAAATCTCGGACTATGATCTCTGCAGAAATTTGAGTGTGGTATTGGGCGAGAATCGAAGAGGTTTTGTTCTAAAAATTCGATACCTTAAGCTCAAACGCGATGAATCCGAACTCCGTTGCCCTTCAACTTTCCATTGCCAAAACCTCCACTTTGCTCTTGCTTCGAAGATCGGTCGACCTTTCGCCCTCTTTCTCCGGCGAGAAATTTCACCGCACTAGAGCGAAGGCATGCTCTTTGGAGTTTTCTAGTTCACAATCCAGTCCGCGCAAACGTACTTTGGCGTTTGTTCATCCTTTAAGCTTTGTTTTATTTTTTTTCTCGTGCTTTCTTTAACTCTGATTTGAGCTCAATAACCGAAAATTTTGCCAGATCTGGTGCAGGGATCCGTCTCTCCGAAGTTCACGAGCCATTTCGAGCTAGAAGATTCAGGGGAAGCTCCGATCACGCCTACCCTGGTACTCCTCTTTAGTTTCTATCAAAATTTTATCTTAAACTTTTTTTTTTCAGATTTGATGTTTCAGCATACAAATAAAAAGTGCCCAATGCAAAATTTATCCGTCCTCTTTTATGCGGATTAACGCTCGCTTTATTACTTGCTACAGTCTATATCTGTAGACTGTTCACGGGTTGAGTTTTTCGATTGATTCCTTGTTTTCGTCTCTGTATTTAATTTTGCCTCAGAAGTTTAATTCAATTATGATAAGCTTCGATTCTGATCATTTTCCAGTTAGTTTATTGTTTGCTTATTTGTTTCAGGATCTTGAGCAAAGCAAGTTCGATGATGTTCTGAAAATTTTGAAGAGAGCAAATTCCTTTATCCCCCACATAGTACTGGCAAGTACTGTACTGGCTTTAGTTTATCCACGGTCTTTTACGTGGTTCACAACCAGGTGATTCGTATACTATGTGTGGATGGATTGACGAAAATCTGCACCTAGCACTTGTTCTTCAGTATATATATTTTATCTACAGTACATCTGTTCAAAGTCTTTTTATAAATGCTAAAGTTATGGAGCCAAAATTATAACTTTATCAAATCTTTACCATATTTGATCGAGATTTCCCATTTATTGCACATATTTAATTGAGATTTGAAAAGATGTGATAAAATTTTTTATTACCAATATATTGGCTATTGGAAGTTGTAACCAGAAGATTATCTTTATCAAAGAGTTTTTAATCAACCTTTGAAGGGATTAACATCTTTTGCTATTGATCAAGAGAGTGGCATTTGATGGACAGGAAAGCAATATGAGTTATTTGCCTCTCCCTAACCAAGAATGTTGCTTTCAACATTTTAAATGAAAAGATCTAGTAGACATGATGAAGGCATTATCAAACATACATGAGAAGCACTCAGTTGCCAATTTCATCTTATGCACAAGTTTTTAATCCCAAAATATTTTATGGGGCATCTATTATTGTGCATATAGAGTGAATTCAACTTGATTAGAATCCAATTAAGCTTTGTGGACATCAACGTTGATGATGAAAACCATGTTTTGAGATTTCTTTCATTTCTGTATAACAGTTGGAAAGGTGCAATAATGGCCATCAACAGCTCTTATTGATCAAACAAACTAAAGTCAAAAGATGTTAGAGATCTTGTCATCAATCTTGTAAAGACGTGAACCGAAAAACCTTTAATATGAGGATTGGAGGAGCGCACGAGACAGCAAGAGTGAGGAATGAGGCACAATCACAATCTTGTACACAGAACATGCTTTAACCTATTGTTGCTATGGATTCACATTTCACCAGGTCAAATATGTCATTGTCGGGTTGACCCAATAATTGAACGGCTTGGAATATCGGATATGGACTTGACCGGTATGTTAATTGTGTCAGGTTCGGGACAAGTTGAGTCGGGTCATTTATTGACACCCTTTGTCACTTGCCCTCTAACCAGTGGTCTTGCAATCAAATGACATCAGAGGTAAATGGTTATAATTGTGGTCCTCTGATCAGGGTCTCACCATAACATGATACTATAAATTTTGATTATGGCTAGAGCTCGTAAGTTTCCAAATGGCTAAAAAGCTCTTGTTGAGTCATATGGTGCTCTTGATAGGACATAAAATCTTATATTAGCTAAGATTGACTTAACATTAACCTCATATCTATAATGTTATCTTGGACGTAATAATCTATGGCTACTAGCAAGGATCTTTCAGTCAGTTTTGGTTGACTACCTTCTTCGACTAAGTAGATCATGATCTATGACAACTCGAGACTAAGGAACCATGGTATATTTATCAGGTTCGTCGCCATTCCCCTACCATTAGTTATAGTGGTCAATTTTTCTCTTACCAATTTTGTTGCTAATATATTTTAAGCATTTAACTTTTAACGATTGGTCTTAATTGAACGTTTTCTCTTGTTATTGGGAGGGGAATTAATCATAGGGGCTTGTTCCTATGGGAATCCTAGAACGAGGTCATAAGGTTCTTGTGAAATAAGGGCGAAAATTTTGGGTAGTGTTTTATCGGTAACCTAATCTACCTTTTAAAAATTTGATCCGAAAACCACAAAATTCTCTCAGCAAAGCCGTGTCATGAATTTTCAAGCCCACGGATACAATACCATATTCAAACCATCCAACCATATTCTCCTTATAGTCAATTGAAAGTATAGGTGGACATGGACATAAGGATTATTCTCTATGTTTGCTCTTATAACATCCTTTATGATCATAAATCAAATTATGATTCTTGTAGAAAATGTTTTTACTTCTAAGATTAATATTTGCCACTTTTTTTACGGGCAATTCTTCTTGATTTAATGAAAAAATTTTCAGGTATTATGCGCCAGCGTTGGGTTTTTTGATGTTTGCTGTTGGTGTTAACTCAAGTCCCAAGGATTTTATGCAAGCTATTAGAAGACCGGAAGTTATTGCTGTTGGATATTTTGGACAGTTCATCATAAAGCCTATCCTTGGTTACATTGTTGGCGTTATTGCAGTTTCACTTTTGAATCTTCCTAATTCCTTAGGCGAGGAAATGGTACCTTCTTAAGTTCTTTTTGATATATCATATTCTAATTAGCTAATCCATATAAAGAATTCATGATTAGGTGCGGGGATCATGCTAGTTTCATGTGTTAGTGGAGCACAGTTGTCAAACTATGCAACTTTTCTGACAGATCCACATATGGCCCCTCTAAGCATTGTCATGACATCTTTGTCAACTGCCACAGCTGTTTTTGTAACTCCTACTCTATCATTGTTGCTCATTGGCAAGAAATTGCCCGTGGATGTTATTGGAATGATGTCCAGTATTATGCAGATAGTTGTTGCACCTATTGCGGCAGGATTGCTTTTGAACAGGTAAATATTGCTAAGCGAAGTTTTTAGCCTTGCTCGGAGCCTATCATTCATCAGATATCACTGCCTTCTTGTTCACCTTTATTCTCCTGTTTCATGCAAGTACTCTGTTAGACCGGTCCACTGGACCGGTTCAGCCGGTCCAGGCGGGACCGGTTCACGGGCGCGAACAGGCGGGATCTCCGCCTCTGCGGAGATCGGGCGGGCCGACAGCTCAAACAGAGCGTTTTAGGAAGGATTTTTGGGGGGTTTCAGAGAGAAATTTGAATGTAGGGACTGTTTAGGGAATTCCTTTTGATTTGTATGCATTAAATAGTTGATTTTGCTAGGGTTTGAGTATCTTGAATTTGGCTGAAATTTGAGATATCTTAGATTTAGGTTTTCTTTGGGCTCTAGCGACGTCTAGAGATTTGGGAGAGATCGATCCTCCTCTCGAATTGAGGATCAATTGTATCTTTGCTATTTTATTCATTATCTAGTGGAATCCAAGTTTCTTCTTGAGTTTTCTCTCAGTTTTCTCGCAATTTCTCGCTGTTTTCGTGTTTGGCTGCTGTCCTCTGCTGAAAACAGCAGTTTTCTTCTCGTTCTACTTTAGATTTGGCTAGGTATTTCCTATCATACTCCTGTTGATTCATTTTTCTAGGATACTATAGTCAGCTTTGGCATATTACTTTCTTATATGTCTTTGGTCTGGAAAATCATTTACTTTTCTTCTACAACTTTCTTGTTCTCTTTTCAATATTCTTAAGCTACTTTCAGAACTATTTTGGCATTTGAAGTCCCTTTTTTTCATGCTCGAATATTTGATATTTCCAGTTCTTTCTGGCCTCCTTTCCTATAGGTTTCTTAGTTAAGTGACATTGCAGAACTCCTTTTTTTTACACTGATGAAAGTAATCATTTTATAATTTCTTTTTTGAAAAGTATAAGCATTTTATAATGTATTATCATTTAATTTGCTAGCCTTTGCTTTGGAATTTTACCAATGGACTGTTAAATTTTCATTGGCTTGCTTATCTGCAGGTTTCTTCCCAGTTTTTGTGCAGCTATTCAACCCTTTCTTCCACCTCTTTCTGTTTTAGTGACAGCCCTTTGTGTTGGTTCTCCCTTGGCAATAAACATAAATGCAGTCATCTCTCCTTTTGGAGTAGCAGTTTTGCTTCTCATTTTTGGATTTCATGCATCTGCTTTTATAGCTGGATATGGCCTTTCTGGTTTGGTATTCAACAAGGATGATGATGTAAAAGCACTTCAACGTACCATTTCATATGAGACAGGTCTTAATCTACTTCAGTATAATTCTTTTAGCTTGAGGATTAGCAATTTTATGCCTGATCAGATCTAAACCTTTTAGGGATGCAAAGCAGTCTTCTAGCCCTTGCACTTGCCAACAGATTTTTCCAGGATCCGCTAGTAGGGGTTCCTCCTGCGATATCTGTGAGTAAAAAGTCTCTTTTTCACGAATCCTCAGCGAAAAAGTCTCGAAATTGTTTCCCGACTAATTCATATGTTGAAAATTCAACCTCAAATTATAACATTTCTTAAATTTAGTTCCTCGACTATAACAAATTTATCTCAAATAATCCCTTTGGAGCTATATTGGGATTAATTTTGTATAATGGAAGAACTAAATTATGGTCAATTTCTATTCAAGGTTAATTTAAGATCAATTTTGTATGGTCGAAAGATTGAATGGGAGGAATGTGAAACTTTAGAGCTAATTGGGTGCATATGAATAGTCGGGGAACTATTTTGAAAACTTTTCACCAAATCTTTAGGAAGCCTTTCGACTATATTCACTCCTTTTTATTTTTACAAGATGAATCCCAATTTGAACAATTTTAGTATCTATGTTGAAAATTGTTTGAAGAAGGTACCTTTTTTCATTTATTTTATGGGTGGGAATGAGGCGATTAATTTTTCATCGTAAGTAAAACTCTTGCTTGGCAGAAATAACCGTCTTTTCTCAATGGCAGTTATTTCTTCTTAATATTCTCATGCATAACCAAATTTGAAGTTTTCTGCAACTGGAAAATTACATGAGTAATGTTCTAGAATTGGCTTATGGCACGATATATGTAATAGATTGCCACACAATTTGATTATCTTTACATCTTTAGCATTATCCAAACCATTTTGGGATTGTTTGAATATATTAGGAATAAAATTTATGTTTCATAAATGATTTTGTATAATTTCTGTCCATGTGACTTTCTCTATCTCCTTTCTTATTAGTCCTTTGACAGCAGTTTTACCTTTCCATTTTGTTGATGCATGTTCTGCCTTTTGTTCTACACTCAAGGTACTTTTATGTTTGTGGGAAATTGTTAGAATTATTAGATCTATTACGTTTAAAGATATTGCCGTATCAATATTCACATGTACCTAATATTTTTTTACAATATTCTATATTATTTATTAGTGTAATCTATGTTCATTATTGAGGACATTCTCTTTTAATAACAGAGTAAAGATATAGTCTTTTAGTTTTTGAACAAATAGCGTAACTGTTCAAAGTATAGTTTTATAAAATTTATCTCCAAGTATTCAAAACATATATATTTTTATCATATAATACTTCCCTACCATTTCTCTGTCGATTGTAGCAGCGTTTTGAAGTAAATGCATTATCAAATCTCTTCTGCTTAATGCGTCTTTTCATGGATTATAACTTGTCTTAAAAAAATTTGCAGGTAGTGCTGATGTCTCTAATGGGATTTGCACTAGTCCTATTGTGGTCCAAGAAGCCATCGCAGCATTAGTATGAAAAGTTTTCTTCAACATGTTTAAGGCTATGAATCCTGGTAATTAAACCGCTTTTGCAAATCTTTATATTTTTTTTTTGTGCTGTTGTAAACACAATAATAGGTATTGATGTAGATTATGTATTTCGGCTCGGATTTAGATTGTAGAGAATAACGGTAATGTGTATTAGTCTTAATTGAGAATTAGGATGGTTGGGAACAAATTCTGGAATTTTGCAAACTTTGAGACATAAATTGGCTAAAGTGTCTTCACTATTCTATTCTATGTGATTTATGTCATTATTCTGTTGAATATTCTGTAGAAGTTAAGGCCTATTATGCCTTCGTTATTTAGATTTTGCTAGTTTATTAATTTTCTTAAAAACATAATGGTGCTTCATTTTAAGGTGTGATGAGGACATCCGACTTTGAAAATTTTATCAGAAAAGAGGCCGAAGATCCACGGCCCTTATTGGACCACTTTATTTTTGAATTATTATTTGTATTTAATTTATTTATGCATTTTTCTATTTTTACCCTCACTTGAGGGGGTAGGCTCATGTGACCCCAGGGGGCACTTTCATCTTTAGAGTTGTTATTATACTTTGGCTATTTATAGTCCCTTCCTCCTCTTTGGAGGAGGATGATGATTATGATGATTAAAATTTCAGCACTTATGTTCTTGGTGAGTTCTTGTGAGAGCTTGTTTGAAATCCCTAGGTGATGATTATGATGATTAAAATTTCAGCACTTGCGTTTGAAATCCTCCCATTCATCAGGTCAATTTCCTCCTAGCCGCCGCCCCTTCTTTTCCCCTAGTCGACGGCCATCTAATAACCCCTCCTTTAGTCGATCTCCACCCTACAAATGTCGGCTTCCCTTTCCTCTACCCTCCTAACCACCACCTACAGGTCCGTCGGCCTCCTTCCCTAGCCGCCAGCCACCATCCTTCCCCTTGACCCAAAACTTCACATCTCCTCTATTATTACTTTCCAAATTTAGCTCATAGTAATTTTGGAAATCATAAACTCAGATTTCAAATCATTTTTGAAATTTGAATTTTCATCCTTAAATCAAAATGAGTTATATTAGGAAAGCTCCTCCAATCAAGTCAATTTGAATTTGAATCTCCCTTAATTCTTGTCCAAATTAGCATGCCAATTAAGACAATAAATAATTCCCTTTTTTTATAAATGCTAGAATTAATTTCAGAATTTTAAAATTGATTCCCTCCCTTTTTCGAACCCAAAATCTGGACTTAAAATCCCTCCCCTTTCTCCTCTCTATGGCTAGCCATTACCCCATCCCCTCCCACTTAAGCTATTCTTCCAGAGATTACAGCACCTTACTGTCCAAAGGTTACAACTTGAGCAGCCTGCTGCCCCGCTGTCTAGAACCTCCTTGTTTGCTGTCCAGAAATTCCAGCACCCAATAGCTCGTTGTCATGTTGTCCATGACATTTAAGTTGGCTGTCCAGACGTCCCAACATGCCTTCACTTGTTGTCCTGCCATCCAGAATAACTATTTTGCTGTCCAGACTTGTGAGAAGACTTCTTATTATTGTCCTTCTTCATAAGCAACCCAAACACCACCATTGTGGCTTCGTATCTTCCTTGCGGGTCTACCTTGAGTTTAGAAGGTTGGTAAAGGTGAACTCTCTCCCGAACCTTCATCTTCTCAATTCCTCCTCGATTGTGGCATCATTTGAGTTGTGAAAGCTTTTCCGCCTAGCCCCTTATTATGAGCATGAGTGAGGGATCTTAAAAGTGACTAGTCTTATTATTAATCAAGGGATTTCTTTTGAAACTCTAATGCTAAGTAAAGTTGGATTTACTTTGATTATTTTGTGCTCCAAAATTTACCTCGTAATCAATTGCCTACGCCTAATCATTGCTTTATGGTTTTCAATCTTTTGTTTGATCCGTAGGAAGTTGAATAACTGTTATTGCTCCATCACAAAGTGTGTAATTTCAAAGTTAATACATCTGTCTATGCATGTAGTTCTACATCAAGGTACCACTCTTTTATTTGATATAATCATATAATTTAAGGAACCTAAAAGTGTAATTCTGACACGTGTGTATAATCATGATGTGTTTTGACATTGAGGACTTTAGGCAGTTCAACTAGTTCAAATTTGTTTGAATTCGACTCAATTTGAGTTAATTTTGGAGGGTTGCGACTTTAATAAAGAGTCCATAATTACATTATCAATTTTATTCAAAAATGAGCTTTTGGCCATTTTGTTAAATAAATATATAGCAGGGAGGTATGATCAATTATGTGTTTATGCCTCAACTTGATCCTTCTAAAATATCAAATATGTTGTTAATGAAATTGTCAATGTTCCATTGAGAAACTTCTATGTTCTAATAACCTTAAGTTTAGCACTAAGCTTATTTGGGGAAAAATTAGAATCTCTAGTGTTCAATTCAATTTTGAAAATATCATCTGACATAAAGGCAATACTAGTTCATGTTACTTCACTTTTTTCTTGTTGACCTTAAGACTCCAGAACAAAGGCACTCAGATGGCTTCTAAGTGCTTCTGCTATGCAAATGAAGGAATCAATTTCTCATCTCTTCATCGGAAATCCCAATATCAAATAATTTCAAGAGTTAATTGGCAGGATCTTTAATGAGCATCTACCTCAAGTTGAATTTATTTGTAGCCTCATGAATCATGGGATTCCACTTAGATAATTGTGTAATCTCTAGGAACATCAGAATTGTAGTAGTGGTATCAGGGTCCAGAATCAATATAATCAAATATCCAACAAAAAACAATTAAAATCATATGCATCAAAATATTTCATTATTTTCATTTATCAAAATTTTATATACACTAGTCACGAGATCACTACAATCTCTAATTTATCATAAGCTACTACTGACTACAACAAATTGAAAGAAAATATAGAACGAAATATAAAGAAAGACCTGAGAATCTATGCTAATCTCATTCCACCTAGTTCTGACCCCTCCATATAATGAGCAAAAAAGATCAGTACTAAACCAAACTTACTGAAGCTTTCAACACAATGCTAGAAGAATTAATGTGTATACTCAGTTCAGTCAATAAGATTAATCTCATCAATGATCAGTTATCGTTTGTAAAGCTCAAGATGATTAATAATAAAAGTAGGAAAATCATTACAATGAATCTAGGAATCAATAACAGGCATGAGAATCAGTAAAACAAAAGTATTATAATCATTCAACTGTTAGTAAAAAAAATCATATGCACGCATTTATCAATATTATCAATCTTATCCTCTTATATCCATCATATCAATTTTATGTAATGAGTACTTGTATCCATTCATATGTTATCCATGTACACATATTACTACTCTATTTATTAATGCTATTAGTATATGCATGCATCAGTATATGGTTAAACAAGATAGGACATCCAACTTTAATGTAGTGTTTTGATTCTTTCATATCATTATTTTTCATCTTTTATCATTATTGTTATTAGTGGCTTTTAATAATCATTAAGAGTCATTACCCTTTGTCTGTCGGCATAATTTGGTCATCTGTTACAAGCTACAACCGGGATAACATTATAAGCCATTTTTAAATGAAAGCTCCGTCTGCGCATCCTCCTGCGCATGGTATTATGTTTTAACAATCAACCCATTTTATAGTGTTAACAATCAACTTTTCATGCTTATGCTAATGTCACAATCAAAATACATTATGAAATAATAAATTATGTTCATTACAAGAAAATCTATATAATATCTGTAATTTTAGAAAATCATAACTTTAATTCTACTCGGTGAAATTCAATGATGTTTCTGTTAAAATGTCCACACTATTCATATTTATTATATGCTAAAAGTAAATCTCAATAAATAATGAGAAAATGTATTTTTATCGATTTAGGAGAGAAGACAAGTCAAACTCAAAATCATTGAAAACTAAAATAAGATTTGAGCTACAACAAATAGAAGAAAATTTTGAAAACAATTGGTGGACAAAAAAGTTTCGAACAACCTTCTCTCTTCTTTCTTTGATAGGGTATGGCGTTGAAATTCAAATTTTTAATTTTTTTTCATTTATAAAAATCATTTTAAAAATTCGTGTTATTACAAGTGGCCTTTGTTTCATTGGATGACAAAGGTAATGACAAAGATAATAGTGTTAAATACAAATATCAATGACTGTCTTGAAAGTTATGAATGGCTCGAGGCAGCTTGTTTCTACTAGAATTAATATGAAATATGAAACATCGCCCCAGGTTTTATTTAAGACAGTTTTCTTACTGTTTTATTTTTTAAACTACAACCAGCATTTCTATTTGGCAATTGCTTTTTCGTTGCTTTAAAAAAAGTTATGCTAAGAAGTTATTTTCTACAAAAGCTTTAACAAATTTCTTTCTCTAAATACAAAGCAGTCCCAAATGAAACTTTAGACTTTCCAAATTTATATATAAATAAGCACTATTTCAAGGCTCAAATTCATCATTAATGAGTGTAGTAAAGAGAATCCAGGTGAGGCAGGTTGCGATGGCATTATCATAATTCACCTGGGTGATCCTTTTATTACCTTAATTATTATTATTATTATTATTTGTTCTCTTCTAATATCTTAAGGTTTCTTCTGTTCTTTAGTGGTTTCTCTAATAGGGAGATTTTCTCTGAACTTCTATTTTATTGGGTGTTCAGTACACTTCTTATGTATTTTGTAGTCATTATCTGACTTCTTTTGTATGTATTTTCTTTTTAGTTTGGCTTCTCATTTGTGAATGAATTTATACATCAAGAATAAAATTGAATTTGATCTCCTGAAAGTAAGGGTACATAGGCAGTACCATAGTGCAGTTGATTTATATGTTGGCCTATAAATCGGATCCTTAAGAAGCTCATTTTTTTTAATAAGAAAATATTAGTATTCAATCCATGAAGTCATAACATTTAATTTGTATGTTTCTAAGGTCAAGTTGTTTATCAAGTTTAATGAGAGGTCATTAAGGTTTTATTTGGGATGATTTTTTAAGAAGTAAAAAAGACGTCTCAAACAAAGGCTTCATTTGGGATGACTTTCTTTCTGCTTCTTAAAGCAACTTTTTAGTATAAGAATTTTAATTTTTGTACTAGAAAGCTGTTTTATGAAGCAGTAAAAAGTCGTACCAAATGAAGCCTATGTTTCATTGTAGTCAAAGATCTCATAGAGATAAAGGTAGAATTGTTACATAAATTTATTCAATATATTAATGTTGAAGATATCCCTGTGATGTAAAGTCATATTGTTGTGAGAACTCCAGTTGAAAAGGAGA